CGAAACTGGAAAGACTGTCCAGATAGCCACTGAAATGAGAAGGTACATAATAGAAGTGTTGGGAATCTGCGAGAGCAGATGGTACGGAACTGGAAGGTGCCAACTACCTACTGGAGAGACAGTAATCTTTTCCGGCCACCCAGAAGACAACCATGAGCACACCGAGGAAGTGGCCATCATGATGTCACCGACAGCAACCAAAGCTCTCATTCAGCAGGAACCAATCTCCTCCAGGATAATGACAGCCAGATTCAACTCAAAAAGAAGGAAGGAAAGTTACAGCCATTTATTGCTATGCGCCTACAAACGTCTCAGAACAAGAGAAGAAGGAGGCGTTCTACAGACAACTACAAGCAATAATGGACAACGTCCCAAATGGCGATAAAGTCCTGATGGGTGATATGAATGCGAAGCTGTGAGGAGACAATACAGGAAGAGGACTCACCATAGGTCGCGAGGCCCTCGGTGAAATGAACGACAATGGTGAACTCTTCTCAGACTTCTGCGCCTTCAATGATTTGGTGATTGGTGGCAGTGTTTTCAAACACTAGGATAAACACAAGACGACATGGATTTCACCAGATGGACACACCAAACGCAAATAGACTTCATCTCAATTTCAAGAAAGTGGAGACGGAGCCTACTGGACACAAGGTCGAGGAGAGGAGCATGTGTGGGTTTAGACCATTATCTAGTGAAGCTAAAAGCCTCGAAAATAGCTGGGGATAAGCCACAATGCAAGTTCAACCCCCAAAAGCTGAAAGAAACAACCACAAAGGACACCTTCACTGCAACTGTCAGAGCAAAGCAGGAGACACTACGCGACATCACTGAAGAATCATGCGTGGAAGAACACTGAAAGTCTCTGAAGGCGATTCTCAACGAAACGTGTTCAACGGTTCTAGGAAGAAAGAAGAGACAAGACAAGGAATGGCTCTCAAAGGACACTTGGAAACTAAAAGAAGAGAGGATAATGGTGATAGAGAAAATGATTAAATGCAAGGGCAGACAGGAGAAGGAGACGCTGAGCTCAACGTACACAGCACTGGACAAGGAAGTGAAGAAGAGTGCTAGGAAGGACAAAAGACAATACTACGACAACATCGCCACTGAAGCTGAGAAGGCAGCAGGCAAAAGGGACCTGAGGACATTATATCAGATAACCGAGTCTCTATCCGAAAAGAGATCAACACAAGTTAAACCTACAAAAGACAGCCAAGGGAATCCAATTACCAAGGAAGAAAAACAGATTAAACAATGGGCGGATCACTTCAAAGGACTCTTGAACCGACCATCACCTGCAACCCGTCCAGAAATACCAACAACAGCGCGCACACAACTGCAAGTTGACACCAATCCTCCAACGAGAGCTGAAGTCTTGAATGCGATCAAGCTTCTGAAAGCTGGAAAAGCAACTGGACCAGATAGAATACCCCCTGAAGCACTGAAAGCGGACCCAGAGACTACAGCAGATATGCTGATTCCATTATTGCAAAAGGTCTGGAAGGAGGGGAAGGTGCCTACTGACTGGAGGAAAGGTTGCCTCGTGAAACTAACAAAGAAGAGCGACTTAGGCCCCACTCTGCGAGAACTGGCGAGGAATCATGCTCCTATCAACGCCAAGTAAAATCCTGAGTCGCATCATCCTGGAGAGATTAAAGGACGCACTTGAGACAGAACTCCGACCAGAACAAGCCGGATTCAGGAAAGGCGAATCACATTCTGACCAAATTGCAACTCTACGCATCATCAACACAGAACAAAGCATGGAATGGCAATCAAACCTCTACATCAACTTTACAGACTTTGAGAAGGCCTTTGACAGCGTTGACCGTGAAGTAATTCGGAAATTACTCGAGTAATACGGCGTGCAGCGCCCAAATATTCATCGACCTTATTCAACAGCCGTACGACAGCGGAACATATCTAGTCATCCACAACGGAAAACTCAGCGAGGCGTTTGGAGTAAACACAGGAGTCAGACAAAGGTTCTCGCTTATTATCACCAATGATATTCCTAATTGTGGTGGACTGGATTATGCGTCAGACAGTGAGAAACGAGAAGACAGGGATATCCTGGACCGACGTGAAGAACCTAGAAGACCTGGATTTCGCGTGTGGATGATTTATGTTTGATATCACACAAAATCGAAGACTTACAAGCGAAAACCGACAAACTGGTCGAAGAAGAAGCCGGGGAAGACATGACTCCTGGTGAACATAGACAAGACGCAGGTGATGAAAATAACCAACCAACCAACCAAAAACAACAGCAACATCCGGCACCAATCACCATCAACGGGAGGGATTTGAAAGAGGTTACTTCATTCACTTATCTAGGGAGGGAGCACTGTCTCAACTGCAGGCAGTCGGAACAGACGAGGATGTCAAATCGAGAATCGGGAAGGCGAGAAATACATTCATCAAGCTGAAACCAATCTGGAAATCTTCGTCACTCAGCCAGCATCAACAACAAAATCCAGTCGGATTTCCAATACAAACGTCAAGTCAGTCAGTTCTTCTATACGGATCAGAAACTTGGCGGGCGGGTTAGATAGAATATTTCCAACAGCCTGTTGCAGACCAGACCTTCATCAACAACTGTTTTCTCTATATATTGAAGATCAGATGTCCGGACCGGAAAGAATCACAAACAAGAAACTATGGGAACAAACAAAGAAAACAAGAACCAATCGCCCAACAAATATGCCGGAGAAAGCGGAGATGGATGGATTGGACACTCGCTGAGGCGACCGCTGGGTGACATCGCGCGCGTCAGGCCACCGCTGGAGTGGAACCCGAAAGGGAAGCGGCGAGTGGGACGTCAGTGCAAGGGTGACATGGAGGAGATCGTGTGAAGAGGAGTTGAAAGAGTATGGACTAACATGGATGCAGGTGAAAAGTACAGCAGAGGACGGAAGCAAGTGGAGACGTGTAGTTGAAGCCCTATGTTCCACTAGGAACCCAAGGGAGCAATAATAAATCTGCGTGTGAAACCAAATCTGTGCAGTTTTAGAAGTAAATAACATGTGAGAATAATTCCTGAGTGTTTTTGTAGATTTCTTTAAATTTAATACTTGTGAAGGACCTTTGAAACCATCGCCTAAGGTACACGACAAAGTAAGTGAAAATGGCTAACAAAACTAACTAGCCTAGAGGTAGCCACCTCATCCTGTCCATGTGTAATCCTTTGAACTGCAAAAATATCACAAAAAGTCGTTATAACATGTGTCTCCAAGTAATTCGACATTTTCTTAGCGTGAAAGTACGTGTTTTAATAATTTGTAAATTGGCCGTAAATTACGGCCGGATAAGAATACCATCATTTGCTGTTTACGCTAAAAACGCCGTATTCCATCAACTTTTAGCAGCAATATAAGTGTAAAAGTGTGCAGAACAACGAAAAATTACCTAACTAAGGGGTTTTTTGAATATATAAGGCCGTCATTCACCAGCTGATCAAATGACCTACGACTGTATACAGGCTGCCATTACATGGCATATCCCCTATTTGAAGTGGCGCCTCTAGCTTAACCTTGACGTCATTTGCGCGGCTGAGTTGACTCGAGTTGGGGCCAGTAGTCCAGGCAAACGCATTTGACGTGATTTAGGTGCTTATTTCGCTTTTTTTGGATTAATTTACATAAAAATTGTTCGATATTGTACCTGAGCACTTACTGATTCCTTGGATGACAGGACGCTTTAATATACGGTTCATGCAGTGACCATTTGGCATACCGAGTATGGTTCGCGTACATTTCGACTACTTAACACGGAAGAAAGGGCACAGACACTACCATCAAAAACCAATAGTCTTTTCATATCTTCGAGTTTCAATGGTCACTTCTCACAACCTTAGTGGACAACATCATCAGCATACACTAATTTTTTTTGATTTTTGATTTACAGCTTGATTCCACACTGTATTTTTGGTACAAGTATGGAATTTTCAGCATGGATATCGGTAGCCCAAATTTTGCAGGCCGACCATAGATATCAGGTGTGCGCCGGCGTGGGCTCGAACCCCGGACCATGTGGATGGTTGGCGAGAGTCCTAACCACTGTGCCACCGACGCACGAGAGTGTCCCCCAGTAAATTCCTAAAGTGAGTGACATACAATTCTGTTAATATATGTATGTTGAAAGTGAACTGAAATAACCATGGCAGTTGTAGAAATGAGCCTTGTTTTGTGTCCTCCTTGAGAATATCAGTTCCCTCATCGTTTAGTTTCAGTATCAAGTGAATGTAACACAATCTACAGATTCATGAAATTCACCTACTTATGTACTTGCGTAAACTCAATGGGCTGTGTAATGCTGCCAATGTAAACGACAAAAATTTTTGAATTACCAGTTATAACTTTGGCTCGTTCGTAAGAAACATTCAACAGTTTCTAAATGGCCACTTGATGAACATTGAATCCATACAGAAAACGCAGAAGATTCAGTACAACATCCACACTCCTGATTTCACTACGAAGCATCCATGCCAAATGCATTACTTTAGGGGCCTACACAGTTCACAAATTGACTCAAAACACTGAAGAGGAAAAATTTATATTTCTCCTTATTGAGCTTAATATAGCGAATCTTGTGAGGTAAATTTCTTGTGCAGAAGGAATGAGCAAGGGATTCATAGTCTTTTGCTACATGTGGAATCCCACTGCAACTCGATGAGAGATATTATATATACGAATAAACTGAAAACTAATGTCCTCCTTGGCCAAGTTAAACTTTAAGCACTACTAACTACCAATCAGAGAACGGCGTCGAATTATCCAACGAAGTTCACGAACGTAAGCTCACCGTGGTATAGCACTTGATTCATTTCCAATGCGTGCTCTAACAAGGTTACGGTTGCAATTCAAGGAGGATAGTGTATTCCAGTATTGCCTGGATTTAGGGTTCCTGCAGAAGGAGAGGACTTGTGCGTGTGGTGGCGTCATGACTTTAAAAAGCTTTAGCAGGTAAACCGATGGATTTTTCCATCGTTGTGCAATATGCTTGAAGCGAGTAAGCGTTAGAGAGAGTAAGCTGATAATTTTAATGTTTCGTAGGAACTTTTGTGCAATTTCACGCCTCTCCTTGACGCAAATTTTGTATATCTGCAACTACTGGGTCTTGAAACAGCCAGTGAGAGCCGCAGCTCCTGAGACGGAGAATAGCTTCGTCTCTACAGTTCAATAGTACCAGCGCTGCAGAGACATCGCATCATGGAAAATTGTGATAAGACAGCAGATGGGTCGTATACGCCATGGAGGCTAGGCTATTGCTGAGAATGAAATGCATACGGAGATAATGATTAGCTGTGGTCTCGCACGCCGGGGAGAAAGAGTGTAGACGACTGAGGCTCGCATACATCACCGTTACTAGAACTAAGGCAGAATGAGTGACAAGCGATTGCAGTGGTAATTGGTAGTGGGTAGATAAGGGGATGTGCGTAGAGTATCATGAGGTGGTGCTATGGTCACGTTGCACTCTGCAAGAGTCATTCTAGTAAGTGGCGATTGTGTTACAAGGTGTGAAGAGGATGCCTTTAATTCGAAGGTGTAGGTCGTCATCGATGTGTGAGATTGTGCTGTGGGTATGCTTGTGGTGTGTTGGTTTTTCTGTTTGTTTTCCATTTCACCTCTGTCCGTGTGACCCAGGTTCCCGCAATGGCATCCAAGTCAACGTGTATTGGTCGCGAAGAAATAAGGGATGGATCCGTGTTTTACCGGGGAGTGTCAATGTAGTTGAAGATTGAACGATCAATTCATGGTTGTTTGCTCAAAACCAACTTCCCCAATTTTCGCGGAGGCATCAATACGACAGTCATCGTCTCATCGGTCGCTGTTCAGAAAGAAGTCAGGACAATGCCGTCAGAAGTAATATTGTGATTAATTATTGTAATATTTGTTCATAGACCTTAGTTATTATGCTGCTCATATGTTGGCGTTACAATAAAGAATTCTTGAGTAGCCAATCGGTGTTTTGGTTTTGCGTCCGTTATTACTAAGCGTTTCCGAAAATCTTCAAGGAACAGCGTGAGCCCGAGCGTAGCAAGAGCTGGGCATTGACGGTTTACGAGACGTGGCTATCAACATATGTACAAAATCACACACCAAGCACGTTGGTCTTCTTATTGATGCGCTACCCTTTAAGAACTGTAGGACTTACAGCGTTACGCCTACAACCCTTTTCAGATTGACGCCCTATGTTGGAAAGTCGTCTAGTGTTTCATCCTCCGACTCTCGACTCTATGCACCTTCCAGTAGACACTGTTTTCTAATATCTCGCACCAACATGCCACAAATTTTTCTCGCCTCAACCATCCTCACCAATCCATCACCATTACATTGTAGCCTTTCTACCTCTCCTAAAGGCCATCTTCCTGTGGCACATTTATCTGCTACTAATACTATGTCACCAACCTTTAAGTTTCGGCACAACTTTTTCCACTTGTCTGGTTTGCAGTTTTAGAACATACTCCTTTAACCATCTTTTCCAAAATATATCTTTCATGTGCCTGGCTTGTTTCCATCTTTTAATCGTAGGTATTCCTTCCCCGCTTGAGTCCTCTATGCCAGGGTTGCCTCTCAATAACAATAATTTATTTGGGGTTAACACATCAAAATCCTTGACGTCGTCCCTCACAGGTGATAACGGCCGGTCATTTAATATTCGTTCAGCTTCACAAAAAAATGTCTCCAGCGTTTCGTCATTCAAACTCTGGTTTTTAATTATGGAGCTTAAAATACGCTTGATAATTCCTATAAGTCTTTCCCATAGCCCACCTCTATGGCTGGCATGTGGTGGGTTGAAGTGCCACTCGATGTTCCTTTTCAGTAACTCTTCCTGAACTCTCGTTTGGGACCTTCGAAGTACTCTTTAAGCTCGGCGTGACAGCCAACAAAATTAGTCCCTCTGTCGCTGAACATCATCTTCGGTACACCCCGGCGATTTATAAATCTATGTAATGCTAGCACGAATGAATCAGTAGTTAGCGTATGAACCATCTCAATATGCACAGCTCTCATTTTCAAACAGGTGAATAAACAGCCATATCTTTTACATAGGGTTCTGCCTCTCTTCACTACAAAAGGTCCGAACAAATCCACCCCAACGTACTCAAATGGATAATTCCCTTCAGAAGCTTGCCACGCTGGGAGTGGTGCCATCATCTGCTGTACTGGACGAGCATTTCGGAGTTTACATTCCATGCACTTATCAATTATTTTACGGACAGCAGTACCTCCCTTCACTATCCAGAACTTACATCGAATACTTGATAGTACTTGCGAAGTACCCAAATGACCTTCAAGAACATGGTAGTGTCTTATAATGAGATCAGTGACTGGATGGTAGCAAGGTAATAAAGCCGGATGACGGGTCTCATATGACGATTCTAACATTTGTAGACGTCCACCAACTCTAGCGATCCCTTCGGAAACTATCGGAGATAATCTATCTAACCGCACCTTGAAATCTGCGAAATCGGGACTATCCTCCTTGGCAATCTCACCCCACGCTTCCCACTGAGCAGCCCTCAAAATCGCTAACTCTGCATTTCTAATATCTTCGACTCTCAAAGGCCCCACATTCATATTTTCGTATCCCGCAAGATGCATGACCTTTAAATACGTAACATATCGTGTCAACCACGCAACAGCTTTCAGTAGTTTGTACCAAGAAGAATAATATTTAAAAAGTGGATGTAAACCTGAATGTCTTTCTTGAGTAGATGTTAAACTGACACTTGTCTTCAACTCCAAGGCACACTCGTTTATCGGTGGTTCATCTTCTCTACGAGGCCACATACTATCAGCCCTTAGCAAGAACTCTGGACCTTTCCACCACTTATTTTTAACCACATTCATATCAATAACTCCTCGCGAGGCTAGATCAGCTGGATTTTTTCCAGACGGTACGTACCTCCACTGCTCAACAGTTGTTAGTTCACGAATTTGAGATACTCTGTTAGCTACAAAACATGCATATCTTGCTGACTCGTTGCGTATATAATATATCACAGACATCGAATCAGTCCAAAACGTTACGGGATGCTTGGGGTAATCCAACTCTTTACACACCGTTGTGAATAACTGCGCAGCTAGTAAGGCTGCATTAAGTTCTAATCTCGGAATCGAAACCGTCTTTAGAGGTGCAACTCTAGATTTACCCATCACCAGGCTAACATCTATATCATTCCTTAAGGTGGTTCTGATGTATACGGCTGCACCAAATCCAACCTCAGAGGCATCAGAAAAAACATGGAAGTCAATTATATCATGATTTCTCGACGGCTTAAGTGGACGTGAGACGGAATGTAGATTCAGCATTCTTAAACTGTTAACCCACCCCTTCCACTCTTCTCTCTGCCTCTCACTTAATGGTTCATCCCACTGTAACCCTTTCCTGCATGTCTCTTGAAATAACCTCCTAGCCGGAAGTAGATAAGGTGCTACTAATCCAAGTGGGTCAAACACGGACGACAACACAGAGAGCACACCTCTCCGAGTAACTGGCTTATCAATATCACCAACACTAAATCCAAAGGTATCAGAGTTCACATCCCATCGCATACCTAATGTGCGTTCAACTGGTAGAGTATCAACAGGCAAATCTCGTACGGTAGGTGCTCTGTCTTCTGGATCTATATGCTTCAAAACGTCTAGGCTGTTCGAGACCCACTTAGTTAGACGAAAGCCGGCCTTAGCTAACACTTCAGTAATGCTTGTTGCAAATCTAACTGCAGACTTATCATCATCGAAGGAGGCTAAACAATCATCCACGTAGAAGCAACAATCTATGACGTCCAGCAAATCATTAGAACCAAATGTGGACACTGCCTTTCGTAGAGCAAAATTAGCACAAAACGGGGAGGACGTGGCACCAAATGGATGCACTGTCATCCTATATTCTGACACCTTACCACAAGGACCGTCATCAAACCACAAAAACCTCAAGTGATCTCTGTCACTCTCTGGCACCTTCACCTGTAGGAACATTTCCTCAATATCCGCCGCGACAGCAACTGTAAACTTTCTGAATCTCAATAGCAGTCCCACTAATGAGCTCACGCAGATTATCATTTAAAGAGACTCCTTCATGTTTCGCAGAACAATCAAACACCACACGGAGTTTACCTGGCTTCCTCGGGTTAAAGACGGGATGATGGGGCAAATACCACTTCCCTGGCTCACTCTGATCAACTAGTCTTTCAACGTAACCCTTCATTATATGTTTATCGACGACTTCCTTATATTTGGACCAGAGTTCTGCATCTGACAGAATTTCTTCTGTAAACCCATTAGTCTCTTAAGAGCAACTTTCCTATTACAAACCAACTGTCTATCTTTGAATCTCCATGGTAGGCCAACGCTGAAACGCCCGTTTTCGTATTTACAAGAGTCCTCGGCTATTTTAACTGCTTTTAAGTCTTCTACAGAACGACCCTTCCCTGGGACACCGCAGTCACAAAACTCCTTGTCATACATATTTTTAATCATAGTTTCTAGTTTGTCCCCATCGTTTGTAACTAATGATGATATGTGGACTATGGGTATAGGTCCTCTCACTGTCCATCCCAGTGGTGTTTTCGTCGCAAACAGATCATCTCTACCTCCAAATCTCTCTTCTAATACCTTGTGAGCTTCTGGCACACTACATCCAATGAGTACTCTCACTCTTCCATCTTGCAGTGTTGGAAGAGGTATGTCACACAGGTATGGCTTACCGACAACCGTTTCACGACTAGGTACTATAGCTTCGCCAAGTTTCATACTGGAGGTAGTGTAAGCAGTATCCACTTCCACGGTCTCCCCAGTAGCCAAGGATTCTAACTGAAATGACACTCGCTCACATACTACTGTTTTCGCAGAATTGAAAGTATTTACAACCAAGGGTTGCTTTGGGCCTTTAATACCCAAGCAACCAGCCAGTTCAGCATCTATCAATGTAACGTCTGAACCATTATCCAACAATGCATAAGTCTCTACTGAAGATTTCGGTCCTTTCACCTTAACTGGTAATACCCCTAAGAAAACTTGTGGGATGTCAAGGGGTCTAGAGATACTATTACAATTAACCGAATTCCCAGGTTCGTTCACTGTTCTCAGAAGTGGGTGCATATCCGTTAAACCACTACTTCCTTTTTTGTCGCCTTACAATTCCACTTTGTATGCCCAATCTTTAAACAACTGAAACACAGCCGCTTCTGCTTTGCCATTTTTAACCTTTCTACGGGTGACATAGCGATAAAGCGATTACAATCACTCAATTGATGCATGTTATGGCAAACAATACACTCATCCTTTCTCGTTGTGTCTTGAGACTTCACCACAAATGCCTTCCTTATATTCACTGGTTCCTTAGGTTCTACCTTAGAATGCAAAATGCTGGCGAATTTGCCCATCGCCTGGTTGACACTGTCCTTCACCAGTCTAAGAATATCATCAAACCTTGGCTCGATACCCTCCTCCTCTATACGAGAGCTTATTTTTACCCACTTCCTTTGCAGCCGAGTAGGTAGGCGTCTCGCAATTACCTCTAGGACTGAGCTCGAGTTGAGGTCACTCATGCAATTCATAGAAATCAAGGTATTCTTATAAGTCATAAGATTATCTAAAAACTCAGTAAGTGCCTTGGAGTCATCTTGAAGTTGACTGCCGTTACCTTTGACAGCTTCGTATACGTTCCTTACAATCATCGAAGGTCTTCCAAACCTTTGACGTAATATGCTCATAGCCTCAGCGTATCCCTCATTAGGGGGCATGAGCTTACAGCACTGTATAGCTCTTGAAGCATCTCCAGTGCAATACCTCATCAAATACATCAATTTCAATTCATCACTTAATAGAAAACTACTCAGCATGATCTCAAACTCCTTTACAAATTGTAAATAATCAGCCGGGTTTCCATCGAAACACCGTGGTTCAAATTTAGGGAGTTTGATGTTCCTATTATCCCTGAACGGCGAAACAGTAACATCAACCATGTCATGCTTAACATCAGACACATCGTTACAAGTAACAGACAAATCAAGATGACTTGCTTTCCTGTTTGCTTCCAAGACGCTCTGTCCCTTCTTTGACCCAGGCATTACTGAACGTAACCGAAATTCCAGAAAGTTTCAGATAACGCTTGTTCAAAGAAGACTTGGCCGGCACCAGGAAAGATGAACGGTGACTATCCAAAGTCGTGCCGTCAGAAACTGTCGGCCACGACTCAAAAACCGTTAATGCCCAGCTCTTGCTACGCCGGGCCTCTCGCTGTCCCTCGAAGCCTTTCAGAAACGCTTAGTACTAACGGACGCGAAACCAAAACACCGATTGGCCACTCGAGAATTCTTTATTCTAACACCGACATATGAGCAGCATAATAACTAAGGTCTATGAACAAATATTACAATAATTAATCACAATATTACTTCTGACGGCATTGTCCTGACTTCTTTCTGAACAGCGACCGATGAGACGATGACTGGTGTATTGATGCCTCCGCGAAAATATAGGGAAGTTGGTTTTGAGCAAACAACCATGAATTGATCGTTCAATCTTCAACTACATTGTTACCTAACCTTCTAAACAACTTGTCCTTATGCCAGGACAATTGCCTTCACCTATGAGCCTAAGTTGTGTCTGTGCAATCCCAATATTACATCATTCCAATCTTCCCCAATATCAAGGCCGCTTGAAACCCATAGCGGTATGGCAACAAGCATCATAGCGGGGATATGCAATAAAGCCACTCGATCGCGGGCGGCAATTCGAAAGCGGCTTATCCTTCGCCCTGGATAAAATCATAATTTGTATGCGTTTTAGAACAACAGTTCACGATCCTCAAGCTAACGGTGCGGTAGTACGTCCGCTGGGTCATCAGCCGCAGACAATGCCCATTAGTCTAAATCCCTGCCGTTAGTTCTCCTAGGCATACGAAATGCCTTGAAAGCTGAAGCGAGTCATACTGTTGCCGAGCTAGTATATAGCACAACTCTACGACTACCAGGTTAGTTTGTTTCTGCATCGAGCTTCCCACCAGCGGTAGATCACCCTCATACGTCAGCAGGCTTGCAAACTCAATGCGTTCAGTTAAACCAGCTCCCCTTCGACCACAGTCCATAGACGCGTTTGTTCACCCGTGTTTGAAAACTTCTTCGCATGTATTCACTCGTTTTGACTCAGTGCGTCGCCCCCTGGAACCCCCGCACGATGGACCACATAAAGTCGATAAAATTATGGATAAATTCTTTGTCTTAGACTAAAAGGGCCGCGAGGACTCCGTTAGCACCTACCAGCCTGCTTAGAAGACAGTACCATGAGTCTTGAAGTAAGCATTCTCAAGAATACAAAAGTAACCGAATATCCCTTAGTCCTCGAGGAAATCACTCACACGAGGAAAGCCACCAAACCCTTGAGTTGAACCCTCAAAGAAAACTCGTCCTGGACGAAAAGTGAGATTCCCAGAACATCTTCACAATTATCACATAACTAAGTGATGGAATTCACCCAATTCTTATTCGTTTGTGGTATTAATTTTTTCTTTCAGACGCGTGAATTTTTTATGTTGCATCCCGCAACATAAGTGAAATTTTTTCTATAACCGTAAATGTTACATACACTAAAAAAATTAGATATATATAGTTTGTTCGGTGTTATATTTTACGCATTATTTTACTGGATGGATGCATATCATTTCTCAAACGTTATTTTTGGTACATTTTCCTCAACACGACTCTTATCATTCTTGTTTTCCTCTTCAGATGCGACGGGCAATGAACACCAGGCAAACGAAGCACAAGATCCGACGGATAAATATACACGAAGCGATTTACAGACACCCTATTAGCATAGGTATCAGACAAGTAGACACTACATCAAGCCAATCAGAAGAGCTTTCACCGATGGGAAAGCCATTGAGCTTTCACTTCCGGTTGGTTTTGTCTTGGGAACCTCACAAACTCACTAGGAGGGAGTGAGCTGCTGCAATAGGTAGTTACTCAGAATTATTGGCCACAGCACTCATCACTGAATATTGGATGATAACCCTCACTGTTCTTTATACATCTACTGGGTCCGACTGTATTATCACTATGATTATTAAAAATTGTCCCGTCATTAACCATCATGTAACATGAGTTTTGTGGTTGTTCTTTGTTCGGCACTATTTAACTGACAATCTTGTTTGTTATTGCCACTATCACCATCTTAAAAATTTTGTATTATGCATGATTCCTCACACTACCACTACAAACACTGCATTAGTGCTGACAATAAAAAAAACACAACCTGAAATGTTTATCTTATGATTGCTTAGTGTTGTTCAATCAAATTAACTGATCATCTTAGCTATAAACATTTTTTTAAGAACATCTCATAATTTCCCGTATGATTATAGCTGTTACTGTTCACCACGCATACACATATCGTAGCTTCCACTAACCAATACTGAAATATTTTTTCATTATATGTGTTTATCTTCCTTTTTACTTGGTATTTTTATTGCATTTTTTTGTTATTTCTGTGTTTCTTTTTGGTTTTTTGTTGTTTTTTTTTTTTTAAATATTTTTTTTATAATACTCCTTTTAAATGTATGATGAAATTAGATGCAATATTGCAGATATGTGCTGAAAATTCCACACTGTACCACAAGTACTGTTTCTGGAATAAAGCGAAATTGTTATTATTATTATTATTGTTAAGTCAACTTGCTTAGCTGAAGGCTTCCAGTCAAGCATCCATGTCATTTGGCACACTGTCGTATCACGTCCGTTCTTTCGTCCACGATCCCTAGCTAGTTAAGCAATCATCTCCCACTCCGATTTGGTCCCGAAATATAATTTGTAATTTGCCTTTGGTTTATGCGGAACGAATATTATAAAAGTTGTAGACCTGGTCGTATGATGAAGGCGGTGATTATGCTCTGTACGCACTGTTTTTAGCATTCTAAGGAAGACGTGATGTGCAATGACTAAGCAGTAAATCCTGCGAGATATTGTCAAGCCCTTGGGAGGTAAACTAATTATAAGCTAGTATGAAATGTTGGCTGAAAGGAGAGCATCATTTATCCAAGGAGTTCGCTTCCAAATAGTCAAAATAGCCTGGTACCATAGAGGTGTTGATGTCTTATGATTGATAAAGCATCTTGCAGAGGCTCGCCACAGATTCACTCAACGTTTCATATAAGTATATCTGGTTTGAGAAACTCCTGTCTGCACAGGCAAACGAGGTTCATGGTGAATGGAAAGAGGCCACTAGAGAGGTATTACCAGTAAACACCAGTGCACGTTCGTTAGTCGCTGAGACTCCTCCAATCGATACTATCTGAAGTTCGACGATGATAACTAGCAACGAGGACAGTTTGATACAAGAGGTTGATTTAAGTGAAGAGGCCAAACTCTCTAAATATGGCAACTCCAGCATGAGCGGAGTTATGCACTCCAGCCAGTAGTCGCTCACTCTTTATTCAGTCGCTTTCATGGGCTGAAAAGGATTGGAGAATTAGTTCCAGTTAAATAACAAACAAGAGTTAGGCTGTCACCTTAGCGGCGGCAAAATTGTTTATATCGATACTCTTGAAGTTTGTTTGAGGTTTGGAGTCTTTTCGTTTCGTGTCAAGTTTTCACTCTTGTATTAGCATGGAAGTCATGGGATACTAAACTCTAGTAATTGTAGGACTTCGCAGAACTTTTCAAATTCACACAGTGCTAGTTAACAGATTTATGCATCTTTAGCAACAATATTTAGGAAGTATCCGGGCATTTGAAGTAATTTTGGGGCTTTCGTGGATAGCATATCCCGAAAAACAAATGAATAAAAAAACGATGAAGGCAGGTGTTAGACTACCAACTTCGTCTATAGCTAAACATCTAATCGAAATGAACTATAAGATTGATGTTAACACAGACTTTAAGGTCACCTACAAAAACGGCCAAGGGCGCTTATTAAAATACGCTGAGACTATAGCTATTCATAAACTTAAGCCCCCTCGATGTATTCAAAGAGTTTTTATCATTACTCTTAACCTACCTCGGTAATCTTTATATGATTGGATTACCAGACGTGTGTATTTAGATTTCAGATTTATTGGTTGAGAATAGGAGGCTCGGAGCCTATGTTAATCCTTTCTAGTAAATTTCTGTGGTTGTCCAAACCCTTCCTGAACGAATCAGTTGAGGTTGCAGACACTACTTCAGGGAGTCGGTTCCAAGAGTTTATGACGGTGTGAAAACCAGTACTCAATAGCAATATGATTTCTTCTTGGCTTTTGGACTCTCCTGCTGTGTCCTCTAAGGTGTTCTAACCTGGTGGGAAGGAAAAGAGAGAATAGGTCAGGTCCGTAGTCATGACTACGGACGCTAGAAAGTTTAATGCATTAGATAAAATTTTAAAAATTATGATTAAATCTCCCCTCTGCCTACGGTATGACAGGAGAAGAGATTTAAACAGTCTAGTGTTTCCTCGTATGATAAGTTAGCTATGCCGTGAACCATACGTGTTGCCTTCCTTTGAACCCCTTCTGGAATGTTTGAGTCTCTTTTTAGACAAGAACTGGCGGCTTCGATGCAGTTTTCCAGTCTTGACCTCACCTGAGATGTATATAAGGAGGTGAACATATCTCTGGTGATTCTAGTAAAGGCTCTGCGAATTGCGCATAAGAACCCGAAACACCGCGCGACAGTGTGCTGTAGTTTTTAAGTCGTAGCTAACTGTGACATCTAACTGATGGAAGTGTTATTCCCTCTAGTTCGTAGGAGCTGGTGCTTGCTTGTCCAATGCGCATAGCTGCACATTTTGCCACATTGATCGGGAGCATCCATTCTATGGATGCTTAGTTTGATTGCCCTTAATATTTTCATATATATATCGACTGGAGAAGTAAATGTGTGATCAGATTGTTCGAAATGTGTAGCGCAAATACATCACATTTTTCAGATTATCTCCGTCCTCTAGTAACACTAGCTAAAGTACCATAGCCAAAGCCAAGGTCTCTCGAGGGTTGGCCTTCAAGGACCAATCAAATACACAGCATACTACGAAAAGTCATTCTAAATAAAGTCATGCGTGTCTTTTTGGACTTCGAGAAGTTTGATACATCATTCCATTTATTCTTTAGGTACTTCTGTAAATCTATATTGTTCTGCAGGGTTATGGCTTTTTGGATTAAGGTTGAGGTTAGGATTACAGTTCAAATTAGGACTAGAATTCTGGTCATGACTAGGTTAAACAACAGCGTCAGAAGTATGAGTACATCTCATGGCACCGTGACCTACACTCACCCGGATGAGTGCATCTATGGCATATGGTATGACTTCTCTCTAAACTATCTTTGTAGTGTTGATATAAGAATAAAACTTGTGCACTGTGGTAGAGTGTAATTCCATTATGGGTAAATTTTGTTTTGATAAAGTCGCACACTGTTATACAGTAATGTTTACTGATGACGTTTCGAGTACAATTTATTGCTCATAATCATATACCTCTCATCAAGGGAACTAAACTCTAATGGGATAAAAGTACTTGAAAAAGGACTAAATTTCAACGTAATAGTTAATAAATTAAAACCAGAGGATGTCATTCCTAACATAGAAGTAGCACTAAGCTCAATAGATAAGACTACAGCAGAAGAGGTTCGAGCACAATGTGCATTAACCTTAAAAAATCAAAACAAAACAAAATCAAACTAAACAAAATCGGAAAGGGAAGCTTTGATTAGTCTTAAACAGGATAAAAACATTGTCATCGCAAAAGCTGAGAAAGGAAACGCCACCGTAGTTTTGGATAAATCTGACTACATCAAAAAAGTTACTGAACATATTCAAATGGGTCCATATGAGGAAATTAAGAAGCCTGTAGATACAATAATGAATAAGGTTAAGAAATCTACAGCGGAACTAATACGCAGAATGAAGCCATCACTAGGTGAGTCAAAATGGTTTAATTTAATGCCTAAAACTAATAATGCTAGTAGAATATATGGTACTATAAAAATACATAAGCCAGGTTACCCCATAAGACCAATAGTAGATTTTAGAAATACCCCCACGTATGAATTATCAAAACACTTAGCTCTAATACTTTGTCCCATTAGAAATCGTTCAAAATCTAGATTAACTAATTCATATGAGATGAAGAATAAAATAAATGACATTCAACTAGCGAATGATGAAACAATGGTTAGTTTTGATATAACTAGTCTTTATACTAATATACCAGTTAATATGGCCTTAGAAGCAGTTAAAAAAGAATTACCTGCGGATCCGGAACTCAGTCATAGGACAAAGCTGTCCATTGAACAAATTATGTTAGGGATTCAGTTATGCCTCACATCTACTATCTTTAAGTTCCAAGGCAAAATATATAGACAAACAGAAGGTGTAGCAATGGGATCACCAATATCCCCTATCGTAGCAGACATATTTATGGACAGCTGGGAAAATAGTGCCCTCAATACATTTAACCCTACTCCAAAAATATGGTGGAGATATGTGGATGACACTTTCACAGTGTTAAAAACAGAACACATCTCTAGCTTCTTGACACATATAAACTCACAAGTTGAGGGAATAAAATTCACATTTGAATCAGAAAATGAACAAGGAGAATTAGCTATGTTAGATTGTTAGATAAAAAGAATAGAAGGCAAACTACGCACCAGTGTGTATAGAAAACCAACGCATTCTAATAGATATTTAGACTTTAATTCGTCTCATCCTTTAACTGTTAAGGCAGGCTTAGTTAAATGTTTAACATACCGAGCAGTGGCACTAAGTAGCACAAAAAAAGACCTAAATGATGAATTAAAACAGATAGAAGAAGCGTTGGTGTTGAATAACTATCCTGTAAAATTCATTAGGAAGATCATTAAAGGCCAAAAACAAAATAAAAATAATTGTGAAACTAGTAATAATAACATAAATAAGAAAGAATATAAGTCATCCACAGTTATACCATATAAAGAGGGGACATCTGAGACACTACGTAGGATTCTGAATAAAGTAGGAATTAGGGTGGCATTTAAACCTACAAACTCACTCAGGGACAAGCTCTGTAGGTTAAAGGACCCAGTTGACCCAATTAGACAAAATAATATTATTTACAAAATACCCTGTAATGACTGTGAGGTCAACTACATAGGTCAAACTAGTAGGTCAGGGGTAGTCAGATTGTCAGAGCATAAGAATTTATCTAAGGTAAGAATGGTTGACCCCGAGAAGATAAGTAATTTAGAAAAAAGCTCAGCAATTGCAATGCATGCGCTAACACAACCACACAATAGGGTGGGAGAGGGTTAAAATTCTAAAAAGTAATCTAGGTAGGTGGAGAGAGAGGTTGATTACTGAATCCTTGTTCATTGAGTCTGCACCCAACACATGCAATAAGAATGACTCATCACTCATACCTGAAATATGGAAAATACTATTACCAATCAAATCAAGTGAAAATCAAGAGATCAACAATGGAACTATATAAATGAATTTAGGAAGTCGTGTGATTACCTTGATATGATTATGAGCAATAAATTGTGCTCGAAACGTCATCAGTAAACATTACTGTATAACGCTGTGAGACTTTATCAAAACAAAATTTACCCATAATGGCATCTTTGTAGTGGCTGGGAGACGTATTACAACACAAACGACAACTATATAGTGTAATATCACGTTCGCGATGTGTTCCAGTGGATTCTCCAAAGAATATGTGAATTCTGATTGGTTTTTCAAGGTACTGCAGTTGTGTCTACGACAGTTTAACTTTCCCCCTCTCACTTTTGGATTGGAGTGTCAACAGAGTAATTTAACCACATTTTGTGCATCTAATTATCTAATAATAGCTCTGATCTCTAACCTAACCCTAACGTGAAAATATCCCGAATCTAACTCTAACCAACCCTTATGTTACTCTCATTAGATTAGCCTAGTCCTAACCTGTCTTTGGCCTAGACCTTAATTTAATCTTTCCCAAACCTTACTTGCCAGATATCCTATTAAATAACGTTACACTTCACCGAACATATTTTACTCATGATTACAGTATTATTTGCCGGATTTTACTAACATGCTGACTGAGTGTTTCACGGTCATTGATGTGTTCGCACTCCGCTGGTACTTAATGGTGTTTAAATTTTAACTTTAGTCCTCTTCCGTAACAGTTCCATGGGACTAGTACCAGTAACGTTGATGCACTCAGTGAGGTTACAATACTGAAATGTTGAGCCTGTGTGGAAGTTGGGTGTAAAAATGACTACATTGATGGAAAAGGCCAGTAAAAAAAAGTCAAAGCATAATATACTGGATATATTTCCTTAACTCTGTGCACGTTCAGTATCCTGTGATATGAGTTTCATCTAGAGCAACATCTATCAAAGGCCAAACAGCATCGGTTTAAAGCCATTACTCTGCACCTTTTAAAATGTGGAAAAGAACTAGTAATGATGGCGTTAAGGGGCGTACTTATATGTGAGAACTTTAAGCCTAAACTTACCTTGGCAGGTACTAGTCTTATATATAGTAGTCACAACCCAGGTACAGCTAAAACCCGAAAGTTCTCTTGTTTGGATGACCTATGGCGATGCAAGCGGTGATTTTGTAATCTGCATGATAAAAGTAGAGGAACAGTTAAGTCAAATGAATAGAGGTAAACATGATCACCCTACGCTTGACCTTAATACTAACCTTAATTTCAAACCTCATCCTAGTCTACTCCTTAACCCAAATCTGAAAGATAACAAAAATTGAAAGTATATAAATGCAGGTTAACTGGTGAACACACTGGGTAAAGTGTATCCTGAGACAGGAGTGATCTGATTGGTAGGTCATTGACTTGAGTTGTGATACCTAAAGTTTATCTCATAGCGTTGTCTTGATGGGGCGTCATGCAAGATGACTAGTGTGATTATTATTAGGAGCTAGTTTGACGCTATATATAAACGAAACCCATACTAACAGTAAGGCAATATAACACTTCATAGTGTTGAGTTTATGCTACGTTTTCAACTGTTTTGCTCGACAAATAAGTCACTACAGACACTGGCAACTTCAGGCAAACAAACCACACACCCGGAAGTGCGCTGAGAGTGACTTTTCGGTCACAATTTTTTTCTAGGCGGGTTATTCTTCCTATGGTATAGCTCACCATATAAAATGCGAAAAACGTGAGTAGCGTATAATGTATAAAGATATCGTGTCATCCTACATTCTAAAGCTCTATAATGGCTATTTGATTGCCACATTTTTGTACAAAGTCTTATATTTAAAACTCAGTTTCTTGAAATTTTTTTTCATTTATCGGGATTATTAATGCAACTACATAATTTTCCTCCTAGTAGTGTACAGTAGTTAGTCATAAATTGATATTAATATTCATAAAGCATGTCAATTGCATGTCTTCTGAAAGGTTTATGCGTTCATCATATGGGAAGCATAGATATAAAGCTATTTTTCTTGTGTAGTGTGAGAATAATTGATAGTTAATGTCTTTGTTATGTGAGGAACGCGGTTGCTTCCACATCACTACGAAAATGTTTTGAGTAATGCTGAAATTTCCCCAATGTCTTACTTCTTCCCCATTTACACATTATCGTATTGGCCAAGTCACTCATTATTTCCACAGTTCGGCCTTTTGGGGGGCCTTTCATCAAAAGCATTAGTATTTTAATTTCATCTAAATATTTTATGTATATTATTGCGTACTTGGATGAATACATAGTCTCCTGATATTCCACTACGTGCTGTTTCAATCATTATGCATCTACCTAAATACTGGATGTTCAAGGTTGTTTTCTTGAGTCATCTAACTTTTCTGATTTTTCTTTTATTGTTTATTTACACTTGCTCAAACTTGACTTTCTACTTTATCTAATTTGGTTTATATTTTAGCAGCACTGTACTTTAACACTTTTCAACAGCGGATTTCTGCTCTTTAGTTTTTTGTGAGACTGCTTCTGTATCCCTGTAGACTGATAGTGGTTACGATTAAATTATTTTATATATTTGGTTTTCTGGTTATCAAGTCATAAGATTTACGATTCATAAAAAGTAGTAAATTAATTTAAATAAATAGCCTCCTCATCTACAAACTGTCCACAGCAGTAATACCCTTTCGCCGTCTGAATAATTAACTTTAACACTTTTGCGTTATAGTGTAATGACAAGTTTCAATACAATCACTGATACGTAATTTGTTCCATCCGACTATTTTCAATTACGTCAGCTTTATTGTGTAATAAATCTTATTATCCAGAGGGACCATGTTGGAGGGTTTAGTGGCAACATCTTCAGACGATGGATATGGAAGTGATAGTGTGGTAAGTTAAAATCCATAGTTTTTCCACTTTAGTCCTCCTTTCTATTAACATATGTTTTCAAGTTATATGTATTATACCCAAACTAAGCACCTGTGTTGTAACGGGATGCTAGTGTTTTGTTGTTGTTACACTTACTTTTACTTTACTTCGGCTATCTCCTACGGGAGGATGAGCCGGCTTCATGAACATCTCGAATCATCGCTGCTCAGGCGCGGCGATCTGATCCAAGGTTTTGCGACAGGGTTATCCAATTCTTGTTCCACAGACGGAGTCCGTAGACGGTTTGTAGCCCCAGGCACTCCATATCAGCCTTGACTGTACCAAGCCATGTTTTCAGCTGTCCACCCCTGCGACATCGCCAAGATGGAAATGGCGAGGGATTTAGAACTGTTTTGACCAGATCATCATCTGGTCGGCGCAGAACATGGCCAAACCACCGAAGGCGACGTTGTTGGACCAGTACTGGAATTTGGTTGGTGTTGTAGAGAGTTCATGAAGTTTCATGGGAATTAGGTACGAGTGATGTCCCCAGAATCGCTCGACCTTTTGTTTGAGAGTGCAGCTCTAGCCTTTACACAACCAAGTGTGACGTACAAGGCAGTACGAGTGGAGTAGAGAGTCCACTATCCATTGGCAGTCGGTGTTTGGAGTCCGGTTCATACGCCTTTTTCAATGGGGCCAGACATCCAGGGCATCCAATAAGCCCTTTATCCATACGTCTGCCGGTGAGCTCCGGTGAGCTTCATACGCCAGTCGTTGGAGGTTTGGAATCAGGGTTTAGCCATCTCCCCTAGACTGTCATCCAATGGACAGTCAACCCGGTGAAGAGCGCCGGGCATCCGCCTCTGCCCTCTCACTTCGGTGAAAAACACCTCCGCCACGTGAAGGCAGTCAGTAGGACTTCCTCGGGAGAGGCTATGTAAGACGCCCGGTCATATGGGAGCATTTCAAGAGGTGTACGGAGGGGTGGCCAATCCGCAGCGCAAGGCACCCACCCCCGACCATCCTGTTATACTTGACCAGAATGGCCTTCCAGTCACGACACTAGTCAACTGATCACTTGGGAATATTCCCTCATATTGAGGTAGACGCAGAAGTCAGATTTAAACTAAGACAACTCCGACAAGAAGAACAACTTTATTATTCACAATATAGAGTATGTGCTTTTCATATCAACGGAAATTTAGACCATAAGTAGATAATCAGTATCTGAATGATTGCATCAATCAATGACATTACGGCTAACAATCATAGTCCGTCCTAGCCACCGATTATATACTTATTGTACAACTTTTTGTCGCGCAATCCCTGTGCGGTATATTAGAACAAATAAATAAGTATAATGTATTACTTACCACCGTTTTGGATCTTTGAGCTAAGTGGGACCGGATACATCTGATGTGCTGGGTCTTAAATGAATAGAGCTGCCATCCGGTGTTTACATCACTTTCATCTGGCTAGCAAGCACTAGTTTGGCGTAAGTGTTTTCCAACTATTAATCAGTCAGGAATATATACTATCACATTATTTTGCTTTAAAGGCCAGTTCATAAGTTACCGTGCTGCCTACTTTCGTTTTAGTCTGTCGGTTATCATACGAAATCTGCTGTAGTTTTTGAACTCGATGCCGTCAACTCCTGGTTGTAAACAGGTTTAGCCCAACTTCTGCTTTCTCTAAACAATAATCTTTTAACCTCTGGAGCATATGTGTACTTTCCCAATAGATTAAGTCACCGAAATTTCAAATAATAAGTTATGGCTTTGAATTTCTCTGCACCTGTGTAAATCTGTTGTAAATCTCATGTGAAATGTGTGACTGACTGTTTAGTGCACATGTGTATGTAGTCTCTGAGTCGTGTTATTTTCGCTTATTTTGTTCTCCTTAATAATCCAGAAAATAATTTAGCCTTCAGTCGCTTACATAACCTTAAAAAAGAACGATTGGGTGTATTCAATTATCTGTATTCCTTCTACAACGGAGCTCTACTTCAGGTTTTCTTTCACACATAACTGACTGTATTTAAATTCGGTATACACCTTCGCACAGAAGCTCTTACCTTTATCGAAAAGAGCAATAGTTAGTAATTTCATGGATAGTTTTGAGCACCGCTAACTCTTTTCCAACTTAACATTACTTCAGTTAACATTGTCTGTTAAGGAAGGTAATGGCTTTCAATGAATAATATGTCTTAAATAAATTTAATGTTAGGGCTTCAACACCTTATCGTGTTGCTTAGTACCCAATGTACAAAACCACTTCATTCTCGATGGATAAAATTAGGGCTGATGCAGATTAGTGTTATAGCACTTTACGAAGACAAACAGCGAGCTGAAAGTATTTGGTTGTATTAATCTTGCATTCGGAATCGTCTATATTATGGCTGTTTTCTTCACTCCTCTTGCCTTACTTTAGTAGACCCTTTTATGGTAACTATTTAATTTTTTTTAAGACAGGAATCAAACAAAACTATCCCCAACAGTACAAATCACGTCAAAATTAATCAACTCCGTTTGATACATGGGGTTGTCATCATTACTAATTACAGTTCTTCGTAACGTCGTACACAGCTGTACGAGTGTTAGCAGAGTGCTTTAATTAACATGATATTCGTTCTATGAGCCTATTCCAGTTGCTCCCGCAGCAATATTCGATAGATAGATTCAGTTGACTAATAAAACTAATATCTCACGAAATTAGCCAATCTGTAAATACTTTCTGTTGTTCATATTCTATTTTGGAAGAAACTAAGTTGATTAAGTTGGACTACATCGCAACTGGATAGTTTGTTTGTGGTGCACTTTTCAAAATACAGAATCTTGAATTATATGTGTTAGTAATGCGGTCTGTGGTTTCACAAGTTAATTATTATTCCCTTTTTCTTTTGCAGAGCTCCACATCTTTTCTTCCAGTAAGTCTTTCTTCGTTAATTATGTAATCGTATAGTATGCCACTGTAGTTTGTATTTGTTTGCTTTTGAATATAGTAGGTAACCCTCACTTGTGACCTGATACTCCCTATTATGGGGGTAAAGTGATAAGATCTCTTCTCGATATGTGGTTGGATGGTGGCAAATAAAGTTCTGAAGATGGCGTTAAGGGGCATACTTATATGTGAGAACTTCTTTAAGCCTAAACTTACCTTGACAGGTGCTAGTCTTATATGATATATAGTAGTCACAACCCAGCTGGTTTGGGAAGGGTTTGGGGCTACATTATATACTACATTTATATAATGGTGTTTTACGTGATACCAAATGAGAAAATCCACTCAACGATAAAATTTCGGGAAGATAGTTTTATTTAGTTAGATCTCAGTTACGTGTACTGTGCCATAAGCCACACTTGTTGTCTAGGGGCTAATGATACTAACCAGTTGCTCAGGCTGTAGTAGGTGGAGCGGCACTCGAACCCTGGAACCATTGGCTGAAAGTTGATTGCTTAGGTCGATGAGCTACATCTGCACAGTGAGGACAGTGTAATAACTATTTTGATTGGTTTCTAAAGGATAGAATAAGAGTTATTTCAATAATCTGAATAAGTATCGTCGTTATATACCTTAGCATTAAACCCTCAATTGTCTGTACCTTTCTTCGTGACTGGCAACAGTATATGTGAATTCTGACAACCAATAAGCATTCTTGCTCCTTACAGCTTTTTACCACTGGATAATGACATCTCATCTCTTTCTTATATTTCTTTGTTACTAACAATCTATGTCTCAATGCAGATGTGTTTCCATCTTCGTAGTGTTTGCTATAAGAGTTCTATTTATTATCTTTACGTGATGGTAGCTGTTTCAGAAAAATTAAAATGACAAAGCCCAGTGTTCATAATTAGTGAAGACCCAAGTTATTAAGTCAGAATATCTTAATCTCAAACCAGGGGTGATGTGCACATCCATTTGAGTTCATATTCAGAACTGTCAAGTAGGATTCAATTTAAAGTGTTGCCAGTTTATTTCAATGGACTTATGGGTTTCAAGCGTAGCCTCTACCAGCTGATTAAAAAAAATACTTAAGTTGATCATTGTACCTATAAATTCTCATCCATTCCTTTACACCTAGTCGGTTACTGTTAGTTTAATCGTTGAAAACTTCCAAGGAAGCCGTTATTGGTTCTCAATCACACAAATTAACAAACTTACAGTAAAATCTGTCAGTTTGTCAGTGTAGAGTAAATAAAATTATGTGATATAAGGCTTGTGCGCTGTAGAGATATTTGTATTAAGTGTTTACACGTGATAAAAAGTTCTAACTTTGCCGAGGCTTCTTACTGCGTACAAACATATGTCACTAACGTATTCTAAGAGTTTTTTTCTTTCCTTCACCTTCCCCAGTGGGACATAGGGCTTCAAGCCAGTGACTTGAAGTTTCTGTAGCAGTGTTCATTTTACAGGATGAGGTTGCTAGCCAGCCTCATGCCCAACCTTTCCTCTTTACCAGCATTATTTCTGGCTTAGCGAGGAAAAGGAGTGAGTCAGCCGAGGATCGAACCCCGGACCATGTGCATGGTCACATGGCATTTATTATTCAGCATCCTATATCGCAAAAGTTCCAGAATATCCTATTTCGTTATATTAAGTCCTCTATTTTTTCGCCAAAGCATGTTAAAACTGTTGTCGTTAAAATCTTTCCCAGAAGATATAGGCTGATAATCTAATGTAGTTGATGTCATTTTGTATTTCTTTCTTTCTCTTTGTTAAATTGCCACTTCGCTTACTACTTCTTAAATTATTTTCAGATGACCCAAGAACAAAAAGAATGGCTCATAGCTATTGTTGATTGCGACCAACCGAAAATGACAAGCATGTTGAATAAGCATCCTGAATTAGCTGGATGGAAGGTAATTATTTCTAACTAAGTGATTGATTGTTCATGGTATGGAAAGTTACATACCAGTAAACTGCATTAATCTGATCATTTGAATTAGCCTATTAGAAAATTAAAATACTGTTGAGAAGCACTTTAAGTTTTTATGCATAACAGAGATCAGTATTGAATCTGACATTTTAAATATGGCTGATTTATCAGTGTTTAGCTATCCACAAATTTGTATTCAGTTCATTGAAGATATGATTTAACGGAGTCAAGCACGATACTGAGTTGATAGATACATATAAGCGAAAAATTTGTATGTCATACATACAATTTTAAGAATTGCTGTACACTCTCATTCACAGTGTATTTATGTCAGGCTATCAGTTGATGGATGCTCAATAAACTTTGTATTAAAGAAGCTTTCAGTATATGCTCATGATTCAAGCAATTTTATTTTCTTTAAGAAAGTAAGTTTCACTTTCTAGTTGTCAATTTTGTCTAGGCAGAGATGAAGAGATATATATGTCTTGAAATGTGGTAAACTACTTAGAAGCTTAGTAATTCAACATATGTATGTAGTTTTTTACCCCTTCACATTCCTAGCGAAACATAAGGCTTCAAGCTATAGGCGAATTTCGGTAGCCGTAGCGTTTATCTTTGTGGGATGAGGTTGCTAGCCCATGCCCAGCCTTGCCTCTTTACCAGTCTGATTACCGGCTTAGCGAGGTAAAGCAGTGCGTTGGCCTGGGATCGAACCCAGAACTATATGCGTGGTTAGCGAGCATTCTACCGTTGTGTCACCGATGCACATATGTATGTAATAGTAAGCCACTTTCCCGACTTACACCAAAAGCATGTTTTGAGATTCTGCTGTACGACTAATATGATAACAACTCTAATTTGAGTGACTTTCTGTTTAAAGAGTTATTGGTATCGTTCTATGTTAAACTTAAGAATCATAAACTCCATTCATTTCTAATTCTCATAAGATTTATGATAAGTTGATCACTTTTAGTTTACTCATGTTTAAATTTTAAGAAATACTAATTTGTTTATTTTATTTATTTATTTATTTTTTTTTTTTGCATTATTTTTGCAGACTAACATCAATGGAGTAAGTGAAGACAACTTTTCCAGTAACAGCTTAATTTTAGTGATTGGATAGTGTTTGAAAATGTTTCACAAATTTTTGCTCTTACTTTTGACTTTCATAAGAATGTGTAGACTGAAAATAAATGTAGATGTCTGTAGCACCGCCTAATCTTATTCACTCAGACTCAAATATATATTAGTATTTTTATTGAAGCCATTGAGTTCAGGTCAACTCCAAATTTGGTTTTACAAATTATACCAGTAAATCACACACTTAATTTAATTGAGCAAATTTTTCACAACAGGTTCTGCAATCGTATGTACACTGGTCTGAAATGCTATAATAGGGAATTGTATGCGTAAAATCGATACACAGTGTTGTTAGCAAGACCACATTGAAACAATTAGAAATATAATGATGCGGTTTGTAGAGCCAGTGGTATCTTAAGAAATATGACAAAAAATATCAGTAATAGTAGTAGTAATGTGCTAATAAAAAGCGGTTCAGCTAGGGGTTTATGTAATATGAATATTGATCAGTATGGTGAATAATAACAATAATGTGAAATAAAATGAGATTGAAATGAAATTACAAGCATTTTGAAGCTAACTCAGTTCAGTTGTTATGCGTTTCGTAGTCCTCCCTTAAAACTCAAACAACAGTACCTAATATTAGATGGAAATACTCCCTTCATCTTATTCAGAAACGTTTAAGTCTTCTGACCACTACTTTTTAATACTGCTGTGGAGTGATTCATTTCTGTCTTTTAGTGTAGCGAATATCTTTTTCACATTGCATCTGTTTGTTTCTTTTCTCTTGTTCCAATTAATTATGGATTTACGTTGAATTATGGAAACTGTGAATGATGAATAGTATGTAAGTTTTTTTTGTTTTGTTTACCAGATTGGTATTCTAGTATTCATAGGAACTGTGATCAAGATTTGATCGGATAGTTGCAAAATAATTGAGCGCTGAGTGAGAAGTAGACATTTATAAAGTTATATTTGTAAAATCTCAGCGAAATTGAAATGATTAATTCCAACGTTTCGTTCGGCAATCTGGTCCGAACTTCTTCAGGGAAATTAATCGAAATTAACATAACAAAGTTTATATATAAAGGGACACATCTTGTTTTTAAAATTCTTGTCCAATCATGAATCATGCAACAGGTATCAACATGTATCATAAATAAATAAATAGAATTGTATGTTTATACAAAAGTACATCTTATAATACAATCAATAGGTATGCTAAACAAAACAAAACAAAAATTGTATGAACTATGATCAAAAACTTTTTGACCTCAGGCTTTCAAAATTTGTCTACTTTTGTTAAAATATATGTGTGTATGCAGTATATGCAGGATACAATGGTGTGTGTGTGTGTGTGGGGGGTGGAACAGTCATAAAACATTTGCTATTCTCATATGAGCTGTGATCAAGATTTGACCGGATAGTTACAAAATAATTGACATTTTTATAAATATAATTTAATTTTTATAGCTTTGTTATTCTCTCCATAAGAAGACGTAGACAGTCGGGAATTTGACTAAGTGTGACTACTTGATCATACATATCAAATTTTACTTTGTTTATTAGTCAGGATTTGCCATGCATCGGCTAACATCACACCTTCACGTCTGTTTAAACTGTTGGGATTCACCCATATATGTAGGGCTTCTGCAGTTAATCTTTCTTGATATGAACCAAAACCTTTTTGTAAAACCTTAGTTATATCAAAGTCGATTTTGTGTCCCGTTTCTATTGAATGTAGCGCAATCGCTGAGTTGTTTTCTAGCTTCTTCAAGTCTGCAGAGCTCTTTGGAACCACCTTTAGACATTGTTTATGCTCTTTCATTCTTATATTTACCTGTCTAGAAGTTTCTCCTACATATACTGCGTTACAATCCCCACAATTGATCTGGTATACGCAATTCTGCTGGTTTTCTTGTTCTATTTTATCCTTAACCTTCACCAGCAATGAACGTAAGGTGTTAGATGCACGAAAGTACACTCTTATGTTATGTTCGTTAAGGATTCGCTTTATTTCATCGGACGTTTCTTTGCGGTAAGGAACCACCGCTGTACTAACCCAATTCTTCGCAGCAGGTTTTGATTCATCCTTATCTTCACATTTTAAGTATCTTTTTATGAAGGCTTTAGGATAATTATTTGACTCAAGAGTGGATTGAACTAATTTTAGTTCCTCGTTAATATCTTCCTCCTCAGTAACTAGACGTTTGGCTCTGTTGATCAGATTCTTGGCCACAGTTACTTTGGTGGTAAATGGGTGAGCTGAATGGTAATCTAGGTATCTATCCGAATTTGTCGGCTTTCTGAAAATGTTTATTTTAAATTTTCCGTCTAATTTTCTTTTTACTAAACAGTCCAGAAACGCCAACTCATTTTCATCGGATTCAACCTCTTTGGAGAACTTGATGGTTTCTGACATATTGTTTATTAACTGAAAAAGTTCATTTAACAAACTACGTTTGATTATGATGAAGGTATCATCTACGTATCTTAACCACATCTTTGGGGGACTAAGGCATCTCATAATTGCATTTGTTTCTAATGAGTGCATAAACAGATTGGCGACTAGCGGAGATACTGGTGATCCCATAGCAATGCCTCCTATTTGACGATAAAGAACCCCTCTGAACGTAAATAACGTGGATTTAAGACACAGTTCTAATACCTTCATAATTTCGTCGGGATTTAAAGGACAACGATCACTGAGTTCGTCGTCAGCACAAAGTAAATTATAAATAATACTTAAAGAATCATTAACGGGTACATTCGTGAATAATGAATAAACATCGAAACTTGCCATTATTTCATCTTCTTCAATATTAGTCAAATTTATTTTCCTCTTAAATTCATACGAATTTTTCACTCCATGCTCCACTTTCATTTCATATGGGCTAAGAATTCGATAAATGTATTTTGAGAGTTTGTATGTTGGAGAGTTAGTAAAATCCACTACTGGACGTAATGGTACTTCTGGTTTGTGTATTTTTGGTAACCCATAAAATCTACAGGGGCTGCAACTTTTTGGAGCCAGAGTAAACCAAAGTGATACACCGAGCTTTTCTTTTATTGACACAAAATCGACTTTGATAAAACTAAGGTTTTACAAAAAGGTTTTGGTTCATATCAAGAAAGACTAACTGCAGAAGCCCTACATATATGGGTGAATCCCAACAGTTTAAACAGACGTGAAGGTGTGATGTTAGCCGATGCATGGCAAATCCTGACTAATAAACAAAATAAGGTTTGATATGTATGATCAAGTAGTCACACTTAGTCAAATTCCCGATTGTCTACGTCTTCTTATGGAGAGAATAACAAATGTATAAAAATTAAATTATATATTTTACGAGTTGATCACGGATTGATATCAGTTAGAGAACCATTGAAAACCAGGGAGTACTGGACAGCTGCTGTTTCATCCTAGTTTGGGAATCATCGGCAGTACGCACCCACTGGGTTTCGAACCCAGGACCTTCCGGTTACAAGGCAAGCTCGTATACCATTCAGCCACTGGAACCCGATTCAATGGCTCGTGAATTATATATATTTATAAAAATGTCAATTATTTTGTAACTATCCGGTCAAATCTTGATCACAGCTCATATGAGAATAGCAAATGTCTTATGACTGTTCCACCCCCCCCCCACACACACACACCGTTGTATCTTGCATATACTGCATACACACATATATTTTAACAAAAGTAGACAAATTTTGAAAGTCTGAGGTCAAAAAGTTTTTGATCATAGTTCATACAATTTTTGTTTTGTTTTGTTTAGTATACCTATTGATTCATATTTAAAAATAAGAGATGTACTTTTATATAAACATACAATTCTATTTATTTATTTATGATACATGTTGATACCTGTTGCACGATTCATGATTGGACAAGAATTTTAAAAACAAGATGTGTCCCTTTATATATAAACTTTGTTATGTTAATTTCGATTAATTTCCGTGAAGAAGTTCGGACCAGATTGCCGAACGAAACGTTGGAATTAATCATTTCAATTTCGCTGTGATTTTACAAATATTCTAGTATTCATTTCGAAAAATGTATCCACCTATCCTATTAAATCGAGTAAATTTAATAGAACTGAGCAAGTCAATGCAGGTTTTTGCATTTACGCACATTTCCACATACTGTGTACAGTAGTTATGAGATAGGTAAACTGGGTGTTTAATGTATACCGACTAGTTTAAAGATGACTGGCCATATGTTTAAGTTGCATTTGGAAAGCTAAGTGTACAACTGAGACAGTTTCAATGTTCTAAGCATATTCTTTTGTTGCATATTTAGTTAATTCGTAGACGGTTTATAAATTTTACTCAGATTCGTAGCAAGTGATGATTATTCATGATTTATTTATATGACTCCATCATTATTTGTCTGGCCGTATATGACCTTACTCCAAAGCTCTCTTTAATAAGTTTGTTCGGTTTTATGTTTGACAGTGATTCAGAAATGTTTTTAATAACACCAAGAGAACAGCTTGTAAGCCTTATCAGAGCATGTTTATTGAGGCTTTTGGGAATTCGATGCACACATTCTTGAATTACTTTCATATTTGCCTGATTTTCAGTTTAATCGGTTGAGTAGGGGAATATGGTTTTAAGTAGTTTACCAGATTAGTTTTAAAAAATTAATAAACATAGATGAAGAGAGACTGATTAAACAAAATATCATAAGATTTCCATTAATCGCCTTTACTATTTTCTACATGAAGTTATGTGAACTGAAATCACCAATCACTTAATTTCAGTACCTAATAAATCAGATAAATATTATGACAGTGAATTTATGAACTCTCATCTTGTTTTCATTCAGCATAATTTTAAATTTGTTTATAGTATTCCTGTGAAAGGGAATCTCTTAGACCATTAAATGTGTGCAAAATACATTATATGAGGTGCACCATCGAGATATACACCTTTTACAATATAACCACGTATGTGGATAGTTTTGAAAAGGTAGTTATAATTCTATTATCGACAACTACCGTGCAACTCCTACTTTTCACAGTAAATCATCTAAAGGAGTTCACTATTGCGTTACATTCTGCGCTTGCTTGTATTGTTGCATTAATCATATTAGTGGTTGGTGTTCGTAGTCTCAAGTATCGTACCTTTTCACTTCACATCATGTAAATAAACCTTATTTAATGTGAAACAAATTGAAATTTTCTGTGTGAATGACACTCACACTTCATTTATAGACTGCACTACATTATGCAGTTAAATTTGGTGACTGTGCTATCATTCGGCTACTACTCGGAAATTATCAAGTTCCTGTCGACGCTCAAACTTACGTAAGTTTGTATTCTTTATTTATTTTAAAAATAATAGTAAATTTCATACATATGTATTGTCTTAATACAATTGTTTAGTGTGTAGAGCTGGATAAATAAACTTGTTTAGAAATTTTATGAAGGTATTTTGTTACACAGATCAAAGGGTATAAAAGATGATGAATACTGGACATCCTAATGAGGCACCAAAGTTTTATGTTACACTCTGAGACAGACAGCACTTAGTTATTCAGTTACTCATATACCCTGACTACTATACATTTGAGGGTTTCTCATCATAAGTATTTTTTTTTCACATGTAACATGCACTGCTGCCTATTCTTTCGTTCGGTTCGAAGTGCGTCTATTGAGCATACAAGTAACTTATTTCTAGATGACAAAAGAAATGAAGAGGATCTTAATTTTTTAAATCTTAATGGAATTGAAAATGGAACAAATTATTGTTTACAATGTTTTTCAATCAGTATGAGATTGGTTAATAAAAAGATTCCTCCGGGAATATAAGACAAACAATTGATGATTTCCTGTTTAAGATAGTGTGTTATATTTTGTTTGCTACTGCTTATGCTAACAGAAAATTTGGAAAATAAAGTGGTAGTAATATAGACAAAAGGTCATTAAAGTTGTCTTACACATTCTTATACTATTTACAGGATTTCATCATCAGTTGACGTCGGTTAAAAAATCACTGAAAAACCCGGAAGTACTGGACAGCTGTCTTGACCTAGTTTGGGGCAGTACTCATCCATCGGGGCTCGAACCCAGTGCCTTCCGGTTACAAAGTGAACTCGTAGACTGTTGAGCCAATAGGACCTGATCCAATGGCCCATGAATTCCAACTCCTATCAATTTTATACTATTAAGTCATAATCAGTAAATATTAAACAGTTGATCCTTGTTATTTTCAAGCCTGCAGCTAAATTTAAAGTACTTTTCTTTGTAACGTTTACGTGTTATATTCCAGTGTTTCCAATGAAAATCTCTTAGGTCCAAAAATAACATTCAGTAGTAATTCTTATGGGCGTTTAATTCAAAGTCCGGGGCATCTCAATGATGAACACTTAGTGCAAAATACACAAAATATAAATGGTCCAATACTGGTTGGTGTACGCGGTACACAACTAATTATCTCAAGCCATCAGTAGTATCTAATTTTTTATGAACGGCCTCGTTGTGTGTTTTGTCTCATAGGTTGTTTATCATTTCATAAATTCGATTCCATTCAGCACACTGATTTATCGCTCGGTGACTGATACATTTATCATGAATGTTAATTTTATCAGAGTCTCAGAGTGAGAACGACATCAGTAAACTATTTCGAACCAATTTTCAAGCCATAAGTATATTTGCATGCCTTTCAATTAATAATTGTACGTTTCTTATATTCCTTTTTTTTCTGTTTTATGCTCCTGCCTACGTTTTCATAGGAAGTAAGTAATCATTGAAGCTAACGAATTTCTGCGATATAGCTTCATCATTTGACATATAAGACAGTTTTTACTATTGTGCTTTTTCATTATTAGTCTAACTTTCATTATCATTTTAATTTTATGTATCTCAACTTCATTCAACAGCTGACTATATGACAATGCCTACCACGTGTTAGTCAGATGATCCACAACAGAAAATTCACCGAGGCGTTCGAGGTGCATACAGGAGTAGGACAGGGCTGCCTGCCTGCCTGCCTACCTATTATCACCGATGATATTCCTCATTGTGGTGGACTGTGAGTTGAGAGTGAGATGAAATTACGATGGACGACCGCTAAGAAGACTCTAAGAGATCTGGCTTACGTGTGTGGATGATATATGCCTAATGTCACACAAACTCGAAGACTTACAAGCGAAAAGCAACAAACTGGCTGAAGAAGCAGGCACGCAGCGAAGACAGGACTCCAAGTGAACATAGAGATGACGGAGGTGATGAAGATAGCCAATCACCACCTTGCGCCACCAACAACAAACAGCACCAATCACACAATCAACGGGAGGGATTTAATAGAGGTTACTTCGTGCCTTCACTTGTCTAGCTATGCAACATCCTCCCAACTACAGCCAGTCGGAACGGATGAAGATGTCAAAACCAGCCAGCCAGCCAGCCACTCAGTCAGTCAGTCAGAATCGGAAAGGCAGGATACACACGCCTTCATCAACCTGAATCCAGTCTGGAAATCTCCTGCACTCAGCCATCATAAACAACAAGATTCGGATTTTCAACACGAATGTGAAGTCAGTCACTTCTTCTATACGGATCAGAAACTTGGCGTGTCACGAAAAGGATTTCCAACAGGTCTCAGACTTTCATCAACAGCTTCCCACTTCGCTGGCTCTATACTGAAGATCAAATGACCGGTGGAAAGAATTAGTGACAAGAAACTCTGGCCGAGAACAAACCAACCAAGAGCCGATCGCTCAATAAATATGTAGGAGACAGTGGAGATAGTCCGGGCATATACTGAGGAGGCCGCCGACTGACATCGCACCCCAGACCATCGCTCGAGTGGAATCCAGATTAAGAGCGACGAGTGGGTCATCCTCGGGTGACCTGGAGGAGATCGTGAGAATAGGAGATGAGAGATTGTATGCAATCGTGGACTCAGTTGGAGAAGACGGCAGAAAACAGAACAAAGTGTTTTGTTTTGTGTTTTTGAAGCCCTATATTCCACTGGGAACGCAAGGAAATAATAATAAGTATGTACTACATAGCGTAAATTGTACATGGATTATGAGATTAATAATTCTCTCCTTATTCTGATCATTTTTATTATACTTTTTAGGGTACTACTGCATTACACTTAGCTGCCGCCAGTGGTAATGAAGATGTTATAGTTCTGTTAACTTCCATGTATAGTAAGTACTTTTCCAATTCATTAGTTTTTAACTTTACTTCGTGTGATTTAATGTTATTCTAAGCTTATTTTATTAAATAAACCAATAAAACTGATAGAAATTTAAAATTAATTTTAATCATATGTTAGAGCTGTGAATTTGTGGCTTATAATTGTATTCTAAGTAGTAAGTTTTCAGTCATTTTGAGGCAGCTGTTGAATTGCACACTTTTCTTTAATGTGTCTCCAGCATAAATCTATCCATTGCAAGATATAAGATGTTGTCAAAAGACAGGTTAGTACCTACTCCGAATTCAAGTATGGAAAGTGCAGCAGTTGAGCATTGCACTACACGATGAGATAATGAACGTTCAAAGACTATATTATTATTTCGGACATATGTTATGCACAGAAAACCATTATCTTTCGTGATGGGAAAATCTCAGCATACAATTTATATAAATGGTTAACATTGTGTCAATATTGATTAAAGATCAGATATTCAAAAAGAACACATAAGTCATGAAACAGACCTATTTTCCTAACGTGGATGAATTCAGATTACATAAAGCAAAAAGTGATGTAGTGGTGTCTATGATTTCCATGAATCTCGGCTACTACTTTCTGCATTAACTCACCGTGCTGAAGCAATCAGTTCGTCACGACAACTACTTATGTCAAACTCAGAAATATTGTACATGTAACACTTAGTTTACTAAAGTAATTTTCCAGTTGAATATAGTAAAGCTTTTTGAATCCCATACTTTAAATTATAGAAGCAAACCCTGGTATACGAGATTTCTGTGGTCGGCTACCAAGTGCATATCTTCCCAAAGAAAAGGAAGCCTTAGCAAGTAAGTTCACAGCTTAATTATATAACATTTGTTACTTTTCATACTAAGCTGCATATATATATATATATATATATTCTAAGCATTTCACATTCATCCCTTGCACATTTCTGGGAAGTTCTACTTTGAATTGTCAGTCACATGCATTTTACCACAATGATTGACCCGTGATATTTGTTGTATGCGCACATCAACTAAAATTTATCCATTGAAGTGTTCTTATTAACTGATATGTTCTCCACATAAAATGATCTGTTTATCGCAAATAGACAACGAACTTTTGTTACTTATGAGAATAAAATTAAATCCAACTATTAACACCTATATTGAAATATGATTCACGGAAAAGCATCAAGTGAGTCAACTTAGCTAAAGGTTCAACGACCCCATTGTTTGAATACTATGCTGTTTTCTCTACAGAATGTGATTTTTACATAAGGGAGGATTTCGCGCTTTTGACATTTATTCTTAGCTTCCGTAAGCTAACTTGTTCTTTTATTCTGAACGGTGCTATCCAACTTTAAGGTTGCTTATTTTCGTACTGGGATAGTATTGCTAGTACCTCTACTTTTTCGTATTCACAGTAAGTCAGAATGAAATGCCTTACTTTGTGGCACAAGAAAAACTATTGTTGTTGATTTAGCATAAATACCGCCTTTACAAAATGCGCTTGAAATGTAAAAAGCCTGAGAAGGCGTAGGCGGTTTAAATATATGGTAGTTATGACATGACTAATTATTCAATGAAGGTCGTTCATTTTCTATAATATATGCAGCTATCGATCTTTTTGTGAGTGATCATGATAATAAGACCACGCAAATGATAGTGTTTGTGGTGTATCTTTTACAGATCTTCGTTGATTGGACCATAGATTGTTCTCCGGTTAATTATCTTAATCAAAACAACCATGTTTTCAGTTTTCTTGTTGATCGAATATAATATAGTTATCAAATTACATGATCTAACAGTGTAATACCTTACATTCAGTGGTAGACTCAAAATGACTGAGGCAGCCTGACAAAAAGGCCCTCTATCTTGTGATTATTATTATTATTTCCTTGCGTTCCGAAAACACATTTCCACTTTGTTCTGTTTTCTGCCGCCTTCTCCAACTGAGTCCACGATTGCATACAATCTCTCATCTCCTATTCTCACGATCTCCTCCATGTCACCCGAGGATGACCCACTCGTCGCTCTTGATCTGGATTCCACTCGAGCGATGGCCTGGGATGCGATGTCAATCGGCGGCCTCCTCAGTATATGCCCGGACTATCTCCACTGTCTCCTACATATTTGTTGAGCGATCGGCTCTTGGTTGGTTTGTTCTCGGCCAGAGTTTCTTGTCACTAATTCTTTCCACCGGTCATTTGATCTTCAGTATAGAGCCAGCGAAGTGGGAAGCTGTTGATGAAAGTCTGAGACCTGTTGGAAATCCTTTTCGTGACACGCCAAGTTTCTGATCCGTATAGAAGAAGTGACTGACTTCACATTCGTGTTGAAAATCCGAATCTTGTTGTTTATGATGGCTGAGTGCAGGAGATTTCCAGACTGGATTCAGGTTGATGAAGGCGTGTGTATCCTGCCTTTCCGATTCTGACTGACTGACTGAGTGGCTGGCTGGCTGGCTGGTTTTGACATCTTCATCCGTTCCGACTGGCTGTAGTTGGGAGGATGTTGCATAGCTAGACAAGTGAAGGCACGAAGTAACCTCTATTAAATCCCTCCCGTTGATTGTGTGATTGGTGCTGTTTGTTGTTGGTGGCGCAAGGTGGTGATTGGCTATCTTCATCACCTCCGTCATCTCTATGTTCACTTGGAGTCCTGTCTTCGCTGCGTGCCTGCTTCTTCAGCCAGTTTGTTGCTTTTCGCTTGTAAGTCTTCGAGTTTGTGTGACATTAGGCATATATCATCCACACACGTAAGCCAGATCTCTTAGAGTCTTCTTAGCGGTCGTCCATCGTAATTTTATCTTCTCACTCTCAACTCACAGTCTAACGCATAATCCAGTCCACCACAATGAGGAAAATCATCGGTGATAATAGGTAGGCAGGCAGGCAGGCAGCCCTGTCCTACTCCTGTATGCACCTCGAACGCCTCGGTGAATTTTCTGTTGTGGATCATCTGACTAACACGTGGTAGGCACTGTCATATAGTCAGCTACTGAATGAGGTTGATTAATACTTGACCACTGCGTGCTGTAGTATTGGAGTGGTTTCCAAATTACTTCTCGGTTAACGCTGTCTGTCGAAGGCCTATACGAAGTCCAAGAAATTGAGGTAGAGAGAGGTTTGACTGACATTCTCTCGTTTTTTCTATGATGACGATACGTAGAGTTGCAGTTGTTTATCAGCACATGATTTGTCTTCCCGGATTTCAAACAACTTTTTGTAATCGGTGGGTGGCAGAGTTATGGATCCAGTGCATCTCTTAGTTACTGCAGGACGATGTAACTTGGTATTTTACTTGACTTTGTAGCTTAGCAAAGTATCCTTTCTTCCAATCAGTGTGCATCTTTCCTTTTTTGCAAACCTTTTGCAATAATGGCGTGATAACATTTGCCGCAATCTCTAGGTCAGTGCTTCAGAGTGGAGGGGAATTCGGTCTGACGCTGCTGTCTTCCCACACTTGAGTAGCTTGATTGTATTCACGATTTCTGCTTTCGTTTAGGGATTGGTGTTCACTGGCAGGCAGTTTTGTGCGTGTTGTCGGTGTTAGTGGTATTTCTAAGCGACTTGCAGGTGATGATCGATTCGAGAGTTCTTTAACGCGATAAGCCCATTGTTTCTTCTCTTTCTCCACCTTGGTAATCAGGTTCCCTTGAACATTTTTTATTGATCTCATCACTTGGGTTGATCTCTTCTCCGATCCGGATTGACCTGGCTATCTGATATAGTGTCCTTATGTCTATTTTGCCTGCAGTCTACCGGTTCTGTTTCAGTTACGAGCGTGTTGAATTGTTGTTCGTTTGTTTTTTTCGAGGACTCTTCTTCTTCACTTCTCTATTCAGTGCATTGTACATTGACCTTATTTTCTCCTCCTGTTGTCCATCTTTGCATTGAGTTATCTTCTCTGTCACCATTTCCCCTCCTCTCCTCAATTAGTTTCCAGGTGGGTGTTTGTTACTCAACCGATAGCTGCTACCTTGACGTGATGTTCGGGCTTGCACATCGCGATGACCCAACAAGCTGCACTGACTGGAACTATTGTTCCTGCAAGTCCTACCATGCCAGGAAGGTTGTTAGGATAGCGATTAAACCCAAAGCATTTACCGATATTGTGTAAGAATCTTTCTTACATTAAGCAGGGGGTCTGATGGCAAAGTCTTACTGCTGGGGAACAGCAGTGAGGTGTTTCCCTCAGATGACCAGCACGGAAGCCATGCTGTCTCTCCACTCTGGAGAGAGGGGGTTACAAAAGGTCGACCCCAAAAATTGTACACCCCGACTTACCCTACGGTGGTCCGTAACCGGCGGAAAGTTTACTGATACGGAACCTATCCCAGAAACTAGCTCATACACTCCGTGTGTGACCGGCCTCAAGCAGTTGTCCCCTAGGCTCTGCGGTCACGCAACACTAACCCTCTTTCTGTTTCAAGTACCCGAAGAATCAATCAACTTCTACGGTGTGGGCAGCCGGGAAGTAACAACCGCCCACACACTTCCAAAAGCACACGAAGCCTTCCTGAGCATCATTCCCCTTCACTCACATCACCTTCCTCATCTTTCTTCTCTACTACAGTTAGTACTATTCTGCAGGTTAGTGAGTCATCTTCACTTCACTCTGTGACCACAAGCAGCGGTGAGAGCCATAGAAACACCCCCGATAGCCTCGTGAAGCCACGTCACCAACTTCATATAGGAGCATTCAACGTCACAACCCTCTGCCAAATCGGACAACAGGCATCACTTGCAAGAACTCTGACATCCCGAGTCATGGATGTGGTGTGTTTCGGAGACACGCATACAAGACCTGAGAGCTGTCATTCATTTAACCTCACCCGGTCAACAGGGTGAATCTGTAAAATTCACTTTAAGGGGGTCAGAAGACCCCTCAGCTAGCTCGCGAGGACTCACAGGTGTAGGGATAGCACTGAGTGTTAGGGCGGAGAAATCACTTCTTGACTGGATCACAGTAGATAGTCATACGTGTGCTGTCCGTCTGAATGGAACCGTTACAAGAAAGAAGGATAGTGTAACCCATCGTCGTCTTTTCGTAGTACGCTTACTTTCCAACCGACTGCAGTTCAGATGTACTAAAGGGTGATATCCACCAGTCACTATCTAATTTGCTGCAAAAAGCAAAACGCTCAGATATAGTTGTTTTAGCAGGCGACTTCAATGCCCAAGTAGGGAAGTTGTACCAGACTGAGAAGTATGTTGGTGGTACGTATGGAGTTCCTTGCTGACGAACCGACAATGGTGATCGTCTTCTACAGTTTTTCTCAGATGATCATCTGTTCCTAGTCAGCACTAACTTTGGGCACAAAGAGATATTGTGTAACCTGGCGACCTCCATCACCAAATCAACACTGGACTCAGATAGACCACATAGCCATAGGATATCGTTGGCGATGGTCAGTAGAAGACTGTCGCTCCTTCTGGAACACGTGCGTAGACTCTGATCACGCTCTGGTTCGCGCACGTTTATGCTTACGACTAAATGGACATAAGAAATTGATGGCAGCGAAATAGTTACGTCCCCAACTAGATCGAGACACCGAGTCCCTATTTAAGGAAGAAATAACGAAACAAGTGTCTGAGGTCTACAGCAGGACTTCCCCTGAGGTAGCCTGGCACAACATACAGTTAGCCGTAGACACAGCTGTAAAAGCTGTTAATAAGCTAGAACCACAAGTTAGTCAGAGCCAGTGGATCTCTGCCGCCTCAACCGAACTGATTGACGCAAGAAGACTGATTCCGGCGAGCTCCGATTATGACGAAAAGTGAAAGCTACTCAAACGAAAACTAACAAGAAGTCTTCGCAACGACCGTGAACAGTGGTGGGCGACAAAAGCGAAAGAGATGGAAAAGGCATCGGCGATTGGCAACACCAGACAACTATTTAGACTTATCAGGGAAACAAGTGGAAAAAGGCAAATGATAAGTGAAACAATCTCTGAGAAAATGGCACTATAATTAGCTCCCAGGATAGACGACTAGAACGCTGGAAAGAGCACTATCAGGAGCAGTTTAATTAGCCTACAGTCACGCTCAACCTGCCGAACAACCAACACCTCCGTGAATGGGACATAGACACAGGTCCTCCTTCCTTAACTGAGGTTACTAAAGCTGTCACTAATCTGAAACAAGGCAAAGCAGCGGGACCTGATGGAATCACTCCAGAGGTATTTAAGTACGGTGGAGACAGTTTACTGTCTGCATTAACTGAGGTTCTAGGTAGCGTCTGGGAGTCAGAAGAAGTCCCATCGAGTTGGTGTAAGTCACTGATTATCCCCATATACAAGAAGGGAGACAAGTCTTCCTGTGATAATCACAGAGGGATTAGCTTGACTAATATAGTATCTAAAGTCTTAGGCTCAATAATCATGCGTAGACTGAGTGGTGCTCGGGAGGCACCAACACGAGAGAACCAGGCAGCGCTTTAGACCAGGAAGAGGGTGTAATGATCATATCTTCACCCTCCGACAGATTCTAGAACATAGGCATTCCTACCGGCATCCAACAATCGTTGTATTTCTTGATCTAAAGGAGGCATTCGATTCTGTCGACCGAGACGTACTCTGGCGATGATTGGCTGTAAAGAGGATGCCGAGAAAATACACTACACTGATCAAGCCACTCTACTCGAACTCATGCAGCCAGGTGAGGGCTTATGGCGAGTTGTCATCTGAAGTTGTGACGACTAATGGTGTTTGTCAGGGATGCCCACTATCCCCATTTCTATTCAATTTCACCATAGGTCTACTAATAGACTTAACCCTAACTCACTTCAGCGACTCAGGAATTAACTTTTTACTATCAGAATAATCCCGTTGACTTAAAATATGCAGACGATATAGTGCTTCTAGGCGATGACGCTGACAAAATGCAGTTTCTTCTGAACACCTTGAGCTGCAATCTACGAATGTATGGCATGCAATTCGCTCCCGCCAAATGCAAGATGATGTTATAGGACTGAACTACACTGACTCCTAGTTTAGACATAGGGAGTGAAGTGGGAGAGCACGTTGACCACTTCACTTATCTGGGAAGTACCACCAGCCCCAAAGAGTTGATCTCTGACGAAATCTCAGTACGGATACAGAGGACTAGTTTCGTATATTCCCATTTACGCCGTCTCTGGCGTAGGCGTGATATCCGGTTGGCTACCTACCAAAGGGCGTGTGTACTGCTCATCAGTCCGCTCCGTCCTCCTTCGTGGCTGTGAGTGAGACATTGCCATTGAGAGTGGAAGACATGAAAAGATTGGCTGTCTTTGATCATATGTGGCTGCGCTCTATCTCCCGTGTGAAGTGGTATAATAAGGTAAGCAATTTTAAGGTGAGGCGTCGAGTGCTAGGTAAAGACAGAAATCAATAGACGAGGTTGAGAAATTACATCGACTGACATGGCTAGGAAATGTGTTACGTATGCCTAGTCATCGCCTTCCTCGACAACAGGCAATGTTAGCTGACATAGGGTCAGGCTGGAAAAAAGCTAGCGGCGGTCCAACCAAAACATGGCACCAGTCAATGAAATCCACACCAGTTAGTTTAAGCGAGCCACTTAAGGGGGTTGTAGACTTTCTGTTTGGGGTCCTCGGGACGGTAAAAACCGATGTTTGGAAACAATTGGTGATGTGGCTCAAAATCGTTCTCGATGGCTGGCGCAGATGCATCCACTCCTTGTGATTTATGATTTCCAATGAAACTATATTTTTCTTCGTTATTACCATTCCTTTGTCTCACACCTCTGTTTACTGTCTCTATTATGCATTTCTTCTACTTTCTTCTCTTGCTTTGTGTGCTACGAGGAGTGTAGCGACTTGAACTGCCGCACATATGTGCAAAGTTCTATGTCGAAAACAGACAGGTGTTTGTTTAGAGTTATTCCTTGTCTTATCTCTTCTGTCTTCCCAGAACAGTTGTACACGTTTCCTTGAAAATCATCTGCAGAGAGTTAGTTCCAATGTTCTTCCACGCAGGATTCCTCAGTGAAACCTTCAGTTTCTGAATGTTGAACTTGAAATACAGTACCCTGTCCTCAGTTGTTCTGAAGGATTGCAGTTTCACCTTGAAGGTTCCTTGAACGTGACGATGGTTTCAACCCACCCACATCCACTCCCCTTCCTTGAGCAACATTGAGACGAAGTCTGTCAGGTTTGTGGTATGTCCGTCAGACGAAACCCATGTTACTGGCCTTGTGCATATCCTTGTATTTGTACGCACTACTTGCGATCACCAGATAATTGAAAGCGCAGAAGTCTGAGAATGATTCTCCGTTCTCATCTTTTTCTCCGAATGAGAGCCTCTCGACCCATGGTGAGTTCTCTTCCTGTATTATCTGCTCTACGCCCACCCTCCCTCTTTAACCCAGCTAGTTAATTAGACGAGGTTTTTATCTCGTGAAGTCATATTATTCCATTGGTTATTTCTTTGGTTCCATTAACAATCATAGGGCGGCCATTCAAGTGAATAGCGAACGCACCAGTAACCTGGAACATATACCATTAGTTAAATTACAGGTCCTGTAGCTATTATATAGTTCGTCTAAGTATGAATTTCGAATCTGAAAGATATTGCTGATATATTTAACTCGGACAATTATTGTTATTTGTAATTATTTGGTTGCTAGTGGCTACCAATGGAGTCCAGGATGCGCATTTCGTCCAACTTGGGATCCACTTACTGGATGCACCTGCATCCCCAGTAAGCACTTGTGTTTGAGACTTGGACTCAGCACCCACTGTCTTAAATCCTAGAGAGTTATCTAATAGGTTATTGGTCTACAGAAGCTACCGTTTTTTTAAAGAGATATCAGCTGTTGCATTTCACGCTAATATAAATCAGTGCGAAATACAAAATAACTTGACTAAATAAAAACTGATACCAGGTGTGGCCCAGTGGGTAATGCTGTGGCATTTGGAATAATGGGTACTTAATTCAAGTCGGAGTGGAAAAAACACCACTCACTGTAGATGCAGATACACCCAACCGAAGCGCACACTGTGCATTCTATTGCTAACCACAGTCAACCTTAAGTTTCAGACATCGTTGAAGCCCTCCATACTAGGGGCCAACAGAGACCAACCATTTCGGTCGATGATTACAGCAGATACTAACAAGTGTGAGAGAGTTTATAATCACAAACTTTTCCGATCTGCTATTCAGGAACCCATGTAAGATGAATAATCAACTAAGTTTTCTATCTTATCAGCCCTCCCATTTTATTGAACTACTAATGTATATTTCAGAAATCTTATGGGAAATATTCAATCAATCTCAATTGCGTAGATGCATTCACCCCTTGTAGTCTCCCAGATTCATTAAGATTTCATGTTTCTCCATGTAGTTATTCATTGTCAAATTACTTATAATCAATTTGATGTATTCCACTTGTGCGTCAGTGGCACAGCGGTAGAGTGCTCGTCGATCACGTAGGTGTTCCGGGGTTCGATCCCCGGCCGGGGCCACTCCTTCACCTCGCTAAGCCAGTAGAAGAACTGGTAAAGAGGGAAGGTCGGACACGAGGCTAGCAACAACATCCTGTAATAATAGACACCACTGCTACGGAAACTTCAAGCCTCTAGCTTGAAGCCCTATGTTCCACTGGCAACGGAAAGGAAGAAAAAAAGATCTATTCCACAATGCACAAACTTTTCACTGACATTATTCTCTCTTCCTTACATTTCGATTCATTATAATTCCTTAGGCTTTTGTTTTTCCGTCTCTGTAGGCTAAATGGAATGTGACAACTTGGACTGTTGCATTTCTGTGCAAGTTCTACGGTGAAAATCAACCCATGTCCATTGATAAATACATATTCACTAACTGTGGGATAATAAATCCATGTTTAGGTCACGCCAACTATTGCATTCATTTTTTTTTAAATATTGGTCAGAAACTGCGAATAAAGGAATAACTTTAAATGGCTGTTTTCCCAGTCTTTTGTTGGTATTCACCTCGTCGAACGGATTTACATGCCCATTTTTGTTTTCTTGTAATATTCTGTCTTCTCTTCTTACATTGTCAGTTATTTATTGCATATCTAAACAATTTTTAAATATTTTAATCTGTTGTTCTCAGAATACTTTCCGAACCCCTTGCGAACATTGCTGCAGAATCGCAGTAATAGTAAGTAAAAGAAATGTTTTTGTTACTCTTTTATTTGAATAGGAGTGTAAGGTCCAAAGTGTATAGTAATTATTTTCTAAAGTATATTATTGAGTTAGTGAACTGAGGAAATTAGGACTTATGAAGGCAGGTTTTACGCCTATCCTTAACGCCTTAAAATTCGTAATCTTAACAACCTCAGCAGTTGAATCTTGTAATTCTTTTCCATACATTGATATCTTCCGTTTTTTGCAATGAAAAGAATCGTTTAGCTAGATACACAGCATACTGTCACACTTTTCCTGTGTTCATACAGGTAAACTTTTCGGGACTTCTAATTAGTGTTTACTACTTCGTAGGCATCAGTTTCAAAATTCTTCTCAAAACTGTGTTGGAAGTTTTATTTACAAGATACAATTTGTTAGTTACATGTTTTGAATAAATGTAATAGAAATGTTCTACTCCATTACTTCAAATTCATACCTTTAGATCTATATTTGTTGATGATTCAACCAGAAATAAACAATACTCACACCAACACAGCCTCCTGTGACGAGAACAGTGATGATCACAGTGAATCAGGATCACTACTAAATCTGCCAAATTCAACTTCTTTACCAATTACTCCCCAATTCCCATGGAATCAAACCAATCAAAATCACATAGAAGACTTACGTCGGGGATTTCCTTTTACGCGAATTATAGGCTCCCGACAAGGAGGACGTGATTCTTCCAGGGATAGATATCACAACAGATATCCACTATTTGGCTTAACGAACAAGATGCCTCTTTCTTCTGGAGACATGAAAGTTTTGAATATGAATTTTAAGCGTCCCTCAATGAAAATAAGGTGTGATAGTCCTAAAAGAAATCTCGATTCAAACTTCAATTACAGTGATGTAGAACTAATCAACAACATCTACTCACTTATTCGTCATAAACATCAAATACCATCGCTTTACAATCCACTGAGTCCTGAAAGCGCTAAAGCAACGGATTGTAATGTAAGTTGTGATAATTGTCACCTGTATCCATCTCATTTGTATCTAAACTCGATAGGAAATATGAAGATTTACTACTTACAGGTGTATTGATGTAATATTTATTTGTAAGGAATTCTTATTCGACAGAATTATTTGTACTGCGTTATTCACAATAAGTAGGACCGATTAGTAGCGGACGTTTACACAGTACAGTCAATGACCGCAATTGTTTTGCTCCAGTATATATATATATATACGATTATTAAGAGTATTTGTATTTGGTTGACGTTGGTGCTTGATAACAGTATTGATATGAAAGCATAAGCGGCAGGTTAGAAGTCATTTTATAACGACAGAAGACAAAGGCCAGGTAATAGATCGTTTATTAAGAAAATCAACAGATATTTATATATTTTTATGTACATTATTATTCGTTATTATTAGCAGAGAACAGCCTCTCCTGACTGGTTGTTTTCTCGCTGAAAGTTATTCTGTCATCTCTTTGTGGCCGTTTCTTCGATGGTCAGACCAAACATCTGCAAATCGTATTTGCGGACGCTAAGTCTGCTGTGATTAGTTGTTGATTTCCTCAAGGTCTGGCTTTGTTATTGTTTTACTTCGTGATCCCGATTCGGGACATAAACATTGACGTAAAGTGGTGTCTACAATATGGCTAGCAGACAGCTCTCACAACAATTTTACATTCCCTTCTCAGGTTTATGCACTTACACAGAGTTTGTAAATGTTCACGATGATTTTTACTAAAAATTTATAGTTCAAGTTCTGTCCTTGAATATAATCTGGGAGACTTAGTTTACTGACTCACTTGATGCTTTTGGCGTGACATTTTATCTAGCACAATGGATACCATTTGGTTGCTTAAAAGCATATAGGTTTAGTAACAGTTAATTTGCCTATTCTTTGCAATTATTTGTGGAAATTAATTGATGAGAACTAATTTCGAACAACATTAACAGTTAGTTACACACACTAGTGGCATCCCGGATATTTTCTTATAGGATAATGACTTTTTTTAAAACCACCCGTTTTGAGGAAAATACTGCTATTGATGTTTAGCATGCATATACTTGTATCTACACGTAAATGCTATCTCTGTTTGCTGTGTTTTACACAGTTAGTACAACATTATTCATAAAACATGATTGCCAAGATAATTTGGTGATTTTCATATACTATCGTCATGATTATATGTAAACCTGTTTTGCTTTTTTTAACTAGCAAAGAAGTGCATGCCGCTTAGCTCCATCTAGCTTGCGTTCAACTGTTGGTCGACACTGGAAACGTAATGCACACAGTGCATATGGAAGTTTGAGAAACACGACATTAAACCTATCCGGTTCTACAAACACTATTGACAGTGACGACTTTACAGACCCACCGACTCCAACAAATGAATCGAATTCAGAACAGTAACAAGAATGGAAATATTGACAGAGATTACCTTTGATTCCTGCCTAATATAGATATTACTTATTTTCCTAATATATTTTTTGACTATATTGCGCCAGAACTTCAACACTTTTAACTCTGATAAATAATTTTTATTATTTAAATTAGTGTAATATATAATTTTTTTTACTGACTAGACTCCTCTTTCTTTATTTTATTGGTTATTGTTTTGGAATCTGGATCTCGTTTGATTTTCTCTTGAGCTTTGGACTCATCGTTATCATCTGATTGCTTAAAAAAATCCGTTATGCTTGAACAGCCACGTTTTTTTGCAGTTGGTCTACAAAAGAGAAATGACAATTAGTTTTGTCTTCCAGTTTACTGGACTAGCCGTCTTATCCTAAACACGAAGAACGGCTCTATCGCCATGTGATATTTTCTTTGCACTAAAGTCGTATATGATTCAATGACCAACCTAATTAAAGACTTGTCGAAACACCGTTTGATTATTACAAACCATCTCCGCCTGCAACAGGATTTAACCTTTGTGGATGCCTGAACTGACTCTGTTACAACATGACTTACATGGGAGAATGTATTTGAATACTCAGTAAACACTCTTCATATGATTGTTACAAGATAAAATTAATGCGAATGCATTTTTTCGGCGATGATGGACACAAACAATCCTGACTAGAGAAACTCTATTCCATTTTGAAATCACTAGCTGATAAATGGCCAGTGTAGCGTTTAAAAAATTAACTATATTTAAACCCCATGAATTTACGACATCTCACTCTGTATGCATTTACCGTATGCTGTCCTTTTTCACTTTGTTTTCATGTTGTAGAAATGTTTCTTTTACTGTATCAAATTGAACCGGTGCACCGTTGTAAGTAGCTAGTCTGTACCTTGTCTGTACTTCCTCATACTCACTAACTTCACAGGCTGATTAGGTATTTTTGTTTGGCATGGTTATAATGTTTTTACAGTAATTTTGGTCATATACTGCACGGTTGACGACACTTTTAGTATCTGCCAGTAGTCAGCGGTAAAAATCGGTAGTTTTCTAGCGTCATATTAAATAAAGTTCATAATGATACTGTTATATATAAGAATATCGGAGATAAGGTATGAAAATTACTGACTTGTATTCTTCTTCTTTGATAGGTTCAATGCAGTCGGGTTGATTGTATGTTGAATTATTCACTTGAGGTGTGACTGGATATTTAACGATTGATACATTTCCCAGGTTCTTTGCGAGGTTAACCAGAAAGTCATATATCTGAAATTATAATTTTCTAACTTAATATATGCAATTTCTGAATATAGGAATACTGTTTCGTCATATTTATATCACGCATACATCTATGTTTATATTCCAATTCAGAGAGGTGTTAGATATTCGGTAAGTTGAACGTGGCTGTAGACCAATTGAATTGCTCCTCAAAGTGTTCTTTCCATCGTTCTAGACATCTATCCTCTGTGTTGTGCCAGGCTACCCCAGACACCACCTAGTTATAAGTCATCGATAGAGGGGATTATTACTTCAGTCGTGCATTAGCCTGCGTACGTATCTTTGAGACTGAGCGGGCACCAAAAGAAAGCTGACAGAATGAGGTCTTCTGCATGCCTAAGAGAAGAATTATGGATGTTTGAGATGCGATTCGCTCTTTCCTAATGTAAAATGGTGCTTCAGGACTAGTTTGCATTGACTCGTCTATAGCTGCGGACTGAAATGGTTGGTGTTGGCCACTTCACTTATTTGGGAGATTGCACCAGCTCCTAAAGGACTGATTCCTAACCACATCTCAACACGGATACGAAAACCTGGTTTGATATTCGCCAGTTTGCGTTATCTTTGGTGCAGGCATGAGATCGTGTCATTCAAGGGACATGTGTACTGTGCAGTAGTTCTAGCTATCCTATTTTAATGACACTGATACATGATCGTTGCGGCTGGGAGATTTGAAAAGATTAGAGCTTTTTAAGTTAGGTGCCCTCGTTTCGTCTCATGTAGAATAGTATTGTAACGGCAGAGCATACTGATATTTGATGGCGGAATTGTTCATTTCGCAATAAGATACACAGTATTGGCAAAATAGAGAGACCTTATGTCGAAGGTTCCGTTTCCAAGTTGTTCTTAATATTCTTCTTGTTTTTCTTCCATACTTTCTGTATCATAGCACAAGGGTTTTCTTTTTTTTCGCTACTTATTCTGACGTTATTCCAGATTCTTGCAGAAAACGTCACACACAGTGTACTACTTATATATTCTCGCCAGTAACAGATACCGCAGTATAATATTGTCAGTAGTAGTGAGGTTAGGCGAAAAGTGTGGTGGAGAGGAAAGGTTAATCAGTAAGAGCATTAGTAACCGAAGCAGAATTAGACCAGTAGAGTTACAGGAGGTCTAAACAAAACATGACAATAGTCCCTGATGTCTTTGACTGCCGATTTGATTCACTTATCTTAGTCTGATTGTTGTTTTTTCGTGCATTTCCATGCATAATAGGTTTATTAAATCTATTCTTTATAATTCTGTGATCTTTTCCGAAGTATTGTAACTCAAGTTGATTCACTTTCGTGCGAAGTTATACATTCATAGTTTATATTGTTTGTTGCCCGAATGTGGCTGATTACCCTTACATTTGCCATTCTGAATTTCTTGTACAAGATTGTCTTTAGGCACAGTTTAGCTAGTTGTCTTTAGTGTTCATTTATTCTCTTCTTAGCGCTCATGTTTTCCTTCAATCTACGTTACGAAAACAAAACGCCGCGTAGATTTTATATACATTCTAAAACTGATGGGACTGATAAACAAATGTTCCTTCAGTTCCTAACAACTTTTAATAATTAATATATATGACTGCATGGAATGTATAAGATAACGTCTACAGTTTATGTAGGCTGTCTGATGGTGAACTGTCGTGTAAAAATCTGATAGTCATACTTTATATGGCTTTGGACAGTGTTCAGTGCATGATATGATCGATTTACATGTACCACAGCTGTATTCATAAGTAAATTGCGAGAATATTCGAAAACCCTGTTAGTTCCTTGAAAGTAATATACAATAAATTAGAAATAAATATAATCCAAATTTGGAAACTGCATATAATACCTGTTTGGGATTACATTCAGTCGGGTCCAACCATTCATATATATCATCGTCATTCTCTAAGATAACCTTAATTGTACAAAATACTTTCCATGATAATGAAACTTACAGGCATCCTTGTGTGCACATCCGCAACAATACCTTTTGAACTTGTAGTTATTATTGTGTATGAATACATCTACTCACAAATAAATGTATTCGATTATTTTGAGGAACTCACTTGCTTCTCATGATTATAAGCAAATAAGCCTGCCATCATAAGTAGCTTTTCTGGGTCTTTATATGTTTATAAAGTTAAGAAAGATGTTTACCCGAAGGGCGGAAATAAAATGGTTGTTTTTTGGCTCTTATCGTTTTCCATTCATAAAATCTGCAAAAAATGTTAGAGGTATTCATTACAAAACGTTCGGACCAGAGAAAAAAAGTGCAAAAGACACTAGGAAATCAAACTGTAAAAATTTCCGCAACGAGTATGATCCACAGGGTAGTAGAGCTGAGTCCCCATAGTTGCCAACATCCTAAACAAGTCATTAAGCTATTTGATCCATTTGGATTCTTGATTCCATGTACACTATAGTTCTGGAACTAGGGTTTTGAAGCTACTCTAGGTGGAGTAGGATATCCACCGATCCGGTCGTAAGCGCCAGATATTTTCATTTTGCTTTTCAGTTTTGTCAGGAACAACCCTGCCGGTTGAAGCCACTGAATAGGAATTATCTGGTGTAGCTATGATCGCATGGCCACATGACAGCAGTTTAGGAAGAGGACCGAAGTCTGCCCACCACTCAACTATACCAAGTCAATAATGAGAACTTTGTGTACAGTAGTAATTAACAAATTGTTATTTTGGGGGATGAAAACAGCTGGAATAATTAGTTTTCAGTTCATATGAATATATCTTTCCCAGTTTCGTACACTCACTTCTTACAGTCTTTTATCAGGGTAACTAAAGACTTTAATGTTTGGATGTCAGTCGAGATGTTATGGACTGAAATTCAACTATGGTTCAGAAATTTATCTAATCTTTAACCACATGGATATGCATTAAAAACCTTCACTAATTCTTGGGAAAAGTTGGGTAGTACAGTTGATGTTCTCAAATGCAATTTACAATCCAGGTAATACATTAATGATTTCATACTTCGTTCCATTTATTATTGTTTACAAGTCATTTGGAAATGTTTACTAATAAACAACTGCGAGACACTCACCCTTGAGCAACAACTACACATCGTTTACATGCTTTCATTGAAAGTTTGTACGTTTGCTTCTCCAGAAGTGATTCGATACGAGCATTGAAGGTATGAAATTTAAAACTTTCATCGCCAGGGACAAATGATGGAATTAAACCCCAGCGCATTACCTGGAGAGAATGACCATTTTCCTGGGTATCAATCAACTGACTTGAAACTAACACAGGTCTAAATTAAATTCAAAAGAGAGAAATTATGCGCCATTTAAAGTGAAAAACAGCATTTGAACTTCACGGAATCTAAAGAGCTTAACTTTTAAACCCAAGATGAAAGTGCAGTATTTTATTAATCACCACACAAATACATTTGACAGCATTTTCACTGACTGTGAACTTGCGAAATTAATTTAGTGCAAAGATGAACATTTTGTTTGCATTAAAATCTTATCTTTCACAAAATGGAATTCATTTAACAAGTTAGTTACCAATATGACCATTGAACAGCGTGACGATCGCTGAGAACCACCTGCAACATTGAACTTTATGTATACATAAAGATAATTTCGACTAATAACGAGGTTTCATAAACTTAGACGGGACAACAATGTTCAGTTCACTTCAGTTGAAATATTACAGGTTAGTGAAAAAATTCGGCACAGCTGTCACAACTAATCTTAAAAAACTGAAGTATAATTATTAACAATTAGACAA